TGTGAACACCACCGTGTGTGTGTTTCCCATCAACTCTGCGACGGAGAGTGACAAGCAGATCGTGACCGCTGTTGGAGCCATTATCCTGTTTGGCTGTGTGCTTTACTCTTGGTAACACACACACACACACACACACACACACACACACACACACACACACACACACACACACACACACACACACACACACACACACACACACACACACACACACACATACACACACACACACACACACACACACACACACACACACACACACACACACATGCACACAAATACATACACACACGCCTCTTGCTTTTCTATTTTTCTGATCTCAATATCTACTCAATTGCAAGCTAAGTTTCCATATAATATATATACTGTATCTTTTTAGTTGTATATCATTACATTTAAAGAGTTTATATTTAACGAGAAGGCCACAATCCAAACACATTATCTACAGTTCTGTTCCAAGCAATGTGAAATAATAGTGTTTCATGGCAGGCTATAGCGACAGAGACAGGGTCGTTTTGATTGGCCGTGACTCAGCAGAGGCAGTGCATGATTGGCTCTGGCGTGGCTAGGCGTGTGAGAGATAGCTAATGTATTTGTGTGTTTGTTAACATGTGTTTCCCATCAAGCGGAGGCATCATGTCTCCTACGCTTGTTCCCTGAAGGAGAGCGAATTACACTGTGCAAATGAATGGAAAAATACGTAGTTACAAAATGACTACCTTTCTCTCCCTCCGTCTGTAATTGTTTCTCCTTCTCCACCCTCCCTTTAGCTTGACTTCCACCACCAGACGAAGCTCTGCAGCGCTTAGAGTGTATGGGAACAGTGAGCCAGAGATTGAGGTAAATGCACAATTATTCACATCCCACTAAGTGTGTGGGTTGATCAAATATATCGACTAATGAATCAAATGAACAGGATCAGACTATCGCAATTACACGTCTTTATCAAATTAAACAAAGTAGGCCCAAGAGACATAATGAGTGTTGGTGGTAACGTGTGTTTTTCTTTTACCTGCAGAGAGCTCGCTGCTGTTTCTGTTGTGGTGATGACACAGGTGAGGAAAGTAAAATAGTGTCCCCTCCCTACTGCATCCCCCCCTCTCTCCCCCTGCCTCTCCATTTTTCTCAGTGTGGACGATAGTGTTTGCACACAGAGGGGATAACTCATTGCTATTCCTCAGCCACATTCAGGATGGTGAGAAAGTATTGGTCAGCAAACATGGATGATGTCACTGTTACTAGGAGAGTAGTATGACACAGTGAAGCAGGACCAGCAGCAACGAGACAATGTGTATAGAGTGACACTGCCCTCTGCTGGAAATAAAAGAAACAAGTCAAGTGTTGGCAAATAGAACCACAAGAAATGTTTTCAAGATTAAAGGGTTTTATTATCATATGCTGCACAGTAGCTACAGTGTAGTTATGGCAATGAAAATCGTACCCAGAGCTCCTCCAACAATGCAACATATTATATAAAGGACACAAAACAGTGTTTTCCCTTGGGTTACTGCTTTTGGGGGGTGCTGCCTGGGGGGGGGGGATCATTGTTATTGATTGATGCATCTGTTTCTTAGGGTTAAAAACACTAAACTCACAACTTAAAATGAAAGTGTTTAGTTTATTTAATAAAAGAGCACATGTTCAATGTGAAAAGTGACAGTAGATATAAATTATTTGCAATTTGGTGCTATATATATATATATATTTTTTTTTAAACCTTGAACTTCAGGGGGGGCTCGTTGGCGCCCCTCCAAGACAATGGTAGGGGAAACACTGCAAAATAACAATAATAATATACAAATAAAAATAGTGCAAATGTCTCACCACTTGAACACATATTCTTCTCTTGAGTTTATTGTGATTTACATTTTTACATCCTTTAAGACCTCATGTGTTTAAGGTATTTTCCCAATGTGTCCACTAACTTATGCCAATCTTCAAAACAGGTTTGGGTGTTATTTTGCCTGAATATACATGTAATTCAGCAGGATCCTATGATGACCATTTTTGGAAAAGGAGTAATTAACTATACTAAAAAATAACGAATGTTGTCACTTTAGCACAGAGATTGACCCTTCTCCACCGTTTACATGCAACATCTTAGAATTGAGAAACTTTGATTCCCAAAACGTGACTCTATATCAACCCCCACTTCCTGGTTGTCACTCCAAATGGAGCAAGTCACATGTATTTATAATCATTTCTTATGTTCGGTCTTTGTAGTACATCACATTAAGATAAAGCTTAGGCCTTTACTTTATTACTTACTTAGTTGAAAAGTGTCGCTCACCCACACCCTGTTTGTTATTGTTAGACGACTATGATGAGGAGAACACTGGTGGAGGCCAGAACGTGAATTATGACGAGAGAGAGGGAACCATCTATGGCTACGCCTGCTTCCACTCTGTCTTCTTCCTCGGATCGCTTTACCTCATGATGACCGTCACCAACTGGTTCCAGTAAGTCATGCTTTAATTGTACTGTTGTTTGGGCATGTAATTAAATAAGTTCTTCCTGTTTTTCTAATAAGCAATTTCTCAGGTTCCTAGTTTGGCTTCCTGGAACACTAAATGTAAATCAGTCAGTTAAGCCTGTGCTTTTCCTGCTTTCTCAAGTAGAAATGTCAGGCAAGGAAATTGCATTTAATCAAGATTAAAGATCAGATAAAGGATCACAGAAGGTCATTAGTTTACTTGTTTTCTGGTTCAAAGGGCTTCATTGTTATATGCACAGATACAGTGTAGATGTGCTCTGAAAAACTTAAGTCACAGGCTCCTCCAACAATGCAACATAAATATATATAAGACATAAAAACAAATAAAAAAACCAATAAAAAATGGTGCAAGTTCAGGAGTTTAGCATATGTATGGCTTGTGGGATAAAGCCTTCCTTTAGTCTGGTGGTAAAGTCTCTATAATCCATATTGTTATCATAACATTGAATCAAATTATAATAAAGCATAACTGGTTGTGACGAACCAATAGGGATTTTTACCCAACTTTGCCCTAACAGGCCTTAAAGGCATTTTTGAGCTTATTGCAGATTTACTGTTTTGATTCTCTCTCATTGCACTCAAAGAGTTGTTTTCGGTTGCAGCTGTGTCAGAGAAACAAAGAACCAACTGCTCCCTGCCAAACCTCAAAAAGCAGCCAGACATTTTGCAACTTGCTGATCTACAATGTTGATGTTGATTGTCGGTGGGGTTACTCACTCTGTGCTTGTTGTTTACAGTTATGATAACCATAAGATTGAGGATTTCCTGGACGGGAGCTGGTCAGTGTTCTGGATCAAGATGGTCTCCTGCTGGGTCTGTCTCGTCCTCTACATGTGGACCCTCGTTGCTCCCATGGTGTTCCCGAAGCGCTTTGAGGCCTAGGACACCCCTCCCCCCACACTGAGGTCAGGCTACTCAGGCAGAAGCTCTCACGCTGAGCCAGGGACCAGCCCCCCCGCCCCGCCCCCCCCTTTACCTTAAAACACAACCCTACACTCAGCGTGGAAATTGAGGATTATCTGTTGCCTTTTGTTTTATATGCTAGTGTCTATTTTACTTTGTTTTACAATGTTAATACCTTGATGGTAATGTTGCTATCTTTTACTACCACTTACTCATGGAGTTTTGTATTGCTTGCACATTTGAAATTACATAAAGAATCATGGGAGTACATAGTGAAACATAATAAGCCTCCGACCCCCATAGATTCCTTCATGATTTCAGATTTGAAAGTGTATTTTGTATTACTGTGTGTCCGTTTTTTCAGGTTTTTTTGTGCTTTTACTCTCAGCCAGGCATTTTAGTTCTGTGTAGTTGGACCATAAAGTTGTAGCAAAGTTTTGGGACAAATGTATTTAAGGTTAAAGATGTTACAAGATAAATTGTATTTATTTAAGTGCATATTCAGTTATCAGGAATAATTTTGTGAAGGTGTGGTATGAATTGAATTACAATTGTCCCTGACTCTGTTTAAAATCTCATCTCTCAGGCTCACATGTAAGCTGTTTGTGGTATATCGCTCTCTTTTTCTAGAAGTTTTCTATGCAACAGAACAAAGTCTTTTAGATATTACACCCAGTGTTGTGAAGTTTCCACAAAGATTTTATTATTGTCCGTGCTCCCTTTGAGCCAGATTATTTCTTAGGAAAATCCATGTCCACTCTTCAACATTTCCAGTCATCGTTGTTGTTGTACAGGGCAGTGCTCTTCAAATCAACCTGCCTTACATAAGAGTGACGTTAGTGGAGCGCCGCCTCTCTGGAAGAGCTGCAGTGACACAGTGAGGAATGTTTGCCAAAGGTAGATGTCAGAAAACAACCTACTACATCTAAATTGTTTGGTTGGTTAACAACAAAAAAACACATGTATTTGCATGCACACACGGACACTTAAATCAGCTATTTTCTGTACAGTTTTAAAGGCTTTTGTTACATGTGTCAGCTCATAGTGGAGGTCAAAATAAAGTAGCATGAGGGTTTTATTAGTGAGTTATTCAACACTGGATGTTGAGTTTACTGCTGAATTAAAATTCACACAAAGACCTGTTTGTTGCCAGTGTAACAGATTTTGTTTGTATATAAATACAATGTATTACACATTGTCAACTGCAAATCTTTTATGCTCCTCATTCATCAATACATCAGTATGTTATTTTGTCTGACTGTATTGCTAACATGTTTTTTAATATGTACATTTTGGCTTAAGTCCTGTGGTCTGTTGACTCTTTCTTTCAATGTATGCTTTATATACCTGCAAATATTGTCATGCGATGCGACTCATCTTCTGTTGCAAAACTGCTTTTTAACTATCGGTATGAATGTAGAAGATAAATGGTGCTCTTGGCTTTGATATCAATCAAAAAAATCTGATAGCAGGAGCTACTGTGAAGCCTACCATAACACACAGGACCACTTTAGTAGTATGTTTTACTATATAATCTGAGATGTGGGTGCCATGCACTTCATTGTTCACATTCTTTCAATAAAACATACATTGAATGCCATGTGGTGTCTTTTATTTACTGATATGTTCCTTCATACAGATAAATAACACAATGATCTGATGTAAAATACCACATACAACCTGCCTTGATTTCCTTCTTAAATGCTCAGATTATTTTTTGTTTTAGCAATGTAATCTATTACAGTATTTACGTACTAATAAAATGTTGGTACAATTGCTTTGAGATCAAAAATACACAGGACCTGTTTTTTATACAATAATGTACTGGCTTCAGTTACACACAAATAAAGTATATAATGCCCAATTTGTAAGCTTTCCTAAAACCCTCTCACTCAAATGACCACGTTAAAATAATCTTTAACCAACCCAGTCCATCATGTTTCCTCTCACTTTTCATTTGACCTCACTACCTCTTTGTTCTCAACAGTGCAGCTCTAATAGTTTATCTGATGGAACTCTGCGCTTCACTCTGTGTTCTGGGCATTGAGATCCTCGTAGTCAGCAGGAATAGTGTCTGTGGGGATGAGAAAGAAAATAAACTCACAGCGTACTTACAGTTAAAGTGGCTGATTTAGCTTTGTTTACCTTGCTGATACTCACCATTGCAACGGTACTTCAGGTTGGACCAGATGATGTTTTCCTGAGAGAAGCAGAACACGCCCAGTCTCCCTCCTCTCATGCTGGTGTCAATGATCCCCTCGGTGTCCGCCACCAGCTTTGGACCCTCAAAGAATCGAGCCCTGGTTCACACAAGGTGAAAACTAAGTCAGCTCACACTGTATGATTGTGAATGTATATAAGTCTCGATGTGTGAACTGCAGTGGGGATAATGTTATGAAGTAATGCACTTAAGAACAATCCTGAGGTATTTGACTCAAGTCTTCTCATTTCATGCCACTTAACACTTTTGCTCCACTACATTGTAGACACACATATTGTGCTTTATACTGCATTCATCTGACAGCTTCAGTTAATTGTGTCCTAACAAATTAAGATTTTTATACAGAAACATTTATAAAGAGTTTGACTATAAGAGTAACTTTTTTCAACTTCTCATAGAAGAATTCTTTCAGATGTTCCTTTATTTTTTGTTCCTGTTAAAAGAAACATATTGAAATCAATGAAGGCTTTTAAAAAAGTTGTATACAAACTAAAACAATAGACCAACTAATGGAGATCAAACAACAGCAGATACATCTAAAATGAAAATAATAATTAGTTTCAGTCTGATACCAAATAGAACAACTTTTGCTCCACGTCAGCCAACCAAAATCCTGCTTTTACATCAATGCACAATTATAATCATATCATCAGGGGGATTTTATCGCATAGGGCATTTCAATTTTTTACACCTATGTACATTTTTCCTGATCAAACATAAATCATTTTACTTAAGTACTACTTTTAATGCAGGATCTAACAGAGTGTTAGAACAGTGTGGTATAAGTATTTTATGTATCACCGCTGGTGTCTGGAAGTGTGTACCTGATGTATCCGACCTGTGGTCTGTGCTGGAGGAACCAGCGGTAAGAGACCTTGTCCTTCCAGCCAACGTTCCTCGGGTCCTTCCACAGCAGGCGCACCTGGTCGGGGGTGTCTCCTGTGTGCCACAGGGAGTTCCTCAGATACTCACCAGGACCCGTCTTTGACTTCACAACCTAGTATCGATAAAGAGACAGAGAGCATAGAAGAAGAGACAAAACTGTTGATGAGAGTAAGAACATTTCCCCAGCAGTAACTCCGGAGGCAGAGTGGGCTGCCGCTAATCACAGGGTGCCAGATCAATCCCAAAAGCCTCTTGTTCACCTGCACAGGCCCAGGTGATTTAAGTGTCAGGGGCCACTCTGGCTTCCACCAACATGATGTCACTCAAAGAGAAATGTACCATCCAGGAAGAGACTCAAAATTACAACAAAAAAACCCACAAAAGAAACAAACAAACTACAAAGAGATGCATAACAGCGACAAAAGGACGAAGAGACTCACGACTATGAAAAGAGCTACAACAAACCAAAAGAGACTAAAAGCAACTACAAAGAGGCTTGATATGACCACAAAGAGACACAACATGTTCAGGAAGAACTTAGTACAGAGGCAAAAGAAAGAAAAAACGGACAAAAAAAAGGCAAAAACACACCAAAAACTGTCTTAACAACTATAACGTTTGTGGGTCTAGATTAGGGGTCTCAAACTCAAGGCCCGGGGGCCAAATCCGGCCCGCGACTTCATTTTATGTGGCCCCGCAAGAGCTTGCAAAGAATATAATACGTTTATTATACGGTTACATGCCACTTTACAGAAGCAGGTTGCCCATGAACTACATGTCCCACAATGCATCTTGTTTTGTGACATGCTACTGAAGAGACTTGCAATTATTTGCTTCTGCTTTCAGAGTAGTTAATTACTAAGTTATTATCCTATCCGATAATAATCCAATTCAGAGGCAATTATGTAATATACTACATTATTTTATATATATATATATATAATATATTTATATAGTTACAACCGGCCCTTTGAGTGCAACCTTTATGCGAATGTGGCCCGCGATGAAATTGAGTTTGACACCCCTGGTCTAGATCCTTAAACGCCTTTTGCATGTCTTTGCCCATAGCATAATCTATCCATGATCCTGTCAAAATGTCCTTGGGCCAGAAATTGAACTCATAATTGCTCCGCATAGCTGGCTGCCATCATAGTGTGATTGTGTAGAGGGAGCAGCCATTCACCTTGAGCTGTATTCCCGGGTCAGCGACGGCTCTGAAGGGCGCGGCCTGCCAGTACGTTTGCTCGGTCTGTTTCCACATCACCACGTAGAAGGAGGAGGAGTCCTGGTAGCCGAAGATGAAGCCAGCGTAGTCATCATCAGTCATCGTGTTTACGTGGAAGGTTCCCTCAAAGTCAACACCACTGAACGCTTTGTAGCCTACAAATGCAAGAGATGAGAAAACATAAATAACATGTTAGGGAAAGGCTGCACACTGAATTAGATGGGAAATGTTCTGTTTTAGGTGGGGATGTGACGATTCCTCTTACCTACAGCAAGGCCAGGGTCAGAGTTCATTGTCTGAACGATCTCCATGCCCTGTGAGGACAACAGAGAGTAGCTTCACTTTGTTTGCCCTATTATGACACTGTGATTTTGAAAGGGATTGTGCTGCTAGAACCATCATATTGTGAAAACGTCAAGCCTCTTTAGTATTATGTTATCACACCGTTAAGATTATATTTTCTTCATCCTAACTGGAGTGATAATGTTATTATAGCATGTAATGATGTTGATATCCGAACATTACTTTACTATTACTAAATAGGTTTGTCTTGTTGTTATCTTTAAATGAATTTCCCTATTAGTATTCCCCTTAATAGACTGTTACAATAATTCCAGTCTACTATTATCCACATACAGCCATTGTTAATTCCAGGTTATTATACAAGACGATACGATAATACTTTATTGACAGATCGAGCCTGAAATGTACTTTATTACTTGGCTACTTACTTACTTTAGTGTTACTTGATTAATACTTATTTTACATACAATTATCACCATACAATTAGAAGTTATTTGCAAGTTTGAATGTAAAGTGCAACCCTGAATGCTAACACACTGAAACAGAGGCTAGTTATCCAGGTTGTTTACCTGGTTGAGGACCACCCAGTTGGGGTCGATCTGAGAGTCCCCCTCTGGATCCAGCACTACGGTCTGATAGGCTCTGAAGTCGGTCAGCGTGACCTCTGCGTTCTCTGGGCAAAGGTCGATTATGTCAATGACGTTGTCTTGGTCAAAATCTCCTTCGCATGCGTCTCCGACATTGTTTTCTGAAACGCACAGACACAGATCAGGGACCAACACACATACTGTACTGTACACACACATACAGTATCACACGCTCCTGTACACATGCATGTACGTACTCAGGAACAATATGATAAAGGCTAAGGGGCGACCCAGAAGCTGGACCCTCACATTTTATAAAACAGAAATTACAACAAAAAGTAAATAAATTAATACATAAATAGTAATAATTAAATAATATATATACAACACTAAATGTAATATATGGTATTCATGATAAATACGTTTTTTTCTAACTTTCTTACACTTGTTTTCCTTTTCCCTAACAAAATCTTGACAACTGTCCTGTATTAAAATGTTTTCTACTTCCTCGTGTTTTTCTGTTAATGTGAACAATATACTATAAATATTGTACTGTATGACACTTACCATCTGTGTCCAGTTGGTCTGGGTTGGGAACAAGTCTGCAGTTGTCGTCATCGTCCAGGATGCCGTCATTATCGTCGTCATCGTCACATTCATCTCCCTATCGAGAAGAAGTAGAACATTTGTAGTATTTTAAACAAAGAGCCATCTTTATTTCAGCATACATTCGAATAATCAAAAATAAAAAGTGAAGTATGAACAAGGAGATTAAAACCATTCCATCCTTGTCGGTGTCCAGCTGAGAGGAGTTGATGACTGTGGGACAGTTGTCTTTTGAGTCCTGGTGGCCATCACCATCACTGAGGAAGACGAGGGAGGGCATGTCAAACAAATGGCAACACTTTACACATCTTCATACCACAGGTCATAGCAGTGGGCTGTACCTGTCTACGTTGTCATCACAGGTATCTCCTACGAGGTCATCATCGGAGTCAGACTGCAGATATACAAAACAAATACTGTTGGTCAGCGTTACCCGGACTACCGATCTTTCCAACAGCTTTTACCCAGAGGCCATCAGACTTGTGAATAATCTCTCAGACTTTGCCCCCTCCCATCTCATTATCCCAGTCATGACCATCAGCACTAACACTAGTCACTTTATTGATTTGCACACTGCACCATACCCATCCTATATCATTCATATTCATATTAATACTGCTATGTCTATCTTTCTTATTCTTATGCATATTTATATACTGTATGTATACACCATACTCTACCCTGCTGTTTATATATCATATTTATTTTTATCATGCAGCACATTATGTACTTTTATTCTGAGACTTTTTAATGTACGTCAGTTAATATTTTACAATTTTTCTTATGCTAGTTTTTATCTTATATGTTTGTTCATATGTATAGTTTCTTAAAATGTTGGTGTGGAGAGCTGAGCGTGTGGAGCCTGGATACTGTACACATGACAATAACATATCTTGAATCTTATGGCAGCAGGTTATTACTTTTCAGGTGTTTTTTGGTTTGTTACCTGGTTAGGGTTGAACATATCAGGACAGCTGTCGCAGGCATCTCCCACCCCATCGTTGTCTTTGTCCTCCTGGTCTGTGTTGGGGACTCGCTGGCAGTTGTCGAGGATATTCTTCAAGCCTGCGGACACATTCACCTCAACTCCTTTATTTCTGCGTCATGTTCAAAAGCCGTGACGCAGAGAGGAAAATCAAAAAAGCATGACAGGACGGAGCCCAAAGTCAGACACGGTCCGTCAAACGCATCACCAGATGGCACTGTTTGTTGAAGACGGGGGTTAAATAGTTTCCAGTGGCCTTTAATGCCTGACGGAGGCTCACCATGGAAAATGCTTTTTAGAGAGGAGACAGACATGACCAAGCGCTTAGCAATCCAGCCTTGAAGTTAAAGACATAACCAAATGATCAAGAGCTTGGAGCTCTGCCAGACTGAATGGACAAGGGTCAACAAACACAGACTAAATGTGTGAGGCATGTAAAAGTACACAATAAGGTGAGAAGTTAAAATAGTTTTTCCAATGGAATAAATGAGAGGTGCTCTAAATTGCAAACAAGTATTTGAAAACATTTTGTGAAAACAGCACATACGATTTTAGTTGGAACATTTTAACACTTATCACTGTTTTCGACTAAGGTTTCGAAATAAGGCTTGAATTGTTTCTCTCACAGCCAGTGATCTGACTGCTACAGGATGTGAATTGGAAACAGAAACAAAAGGCCGGAGGATGTTTTGAACTGATATAGTGGTGCCAGTCCAGTGAAAAAAAGAGCCCACACTTCCTGTTAAACTGGACTGTAAAGGTTTTTATTTCTGTCTAGACGCTCTGCGGTTTGGAGAACACTCACAGACACGCTGGTGGTTAAATGTAATTATTAGCCATTTGGGTTTGTGTTTCAAAATCTATTACCTCTAATTGATGCAATAAACGCAGTAATGGTCCAGTAACTACACCTCCCACAGTAATGACCATCCAACCGTTTCCGCCAATGTGACCATTTACAATAATTGACTTTATAATTACACGCAGTTTATAGCCAACTTAATAATTATTGACCTGTTATATAACACACATACTCTAGGCATGGGATGATATAATATCTTTATGTAATGTGTTTTTTGGGGAAGAACATTTCAATTAATTGAATCATCAAAATGTGCTTAAAACTCTCAATGACACTGATTACATTAATAATTTTGCCTTTCATTAATTTAAGAAAAACATATTAATTCATCACAGATCTTTTTTTCCGAATACATTATAAAAGATCATTACAATTTCCTCGTATGTGCAAACCTACTTGACAATAATCCTGATTCTGATCTCAGAGTTGGTTTTTTCTTACATATAAGTTCCTCTAATTTTTAAAATCAGGCTCTTTATAAATGTCTCAACCGACAGCTTTTCCAAGTCACTCACGAGATCATTTTCGAGATTATCCCAATAGTAACATTGGATAGTGAATTCATTAACATCACCTTGCTGTGAGTGTTTTGTATTGAATTCTACGATAAACTCCTATATTATTCCATCTGTTCAACATACACACTTACCGTCCCCGTCCATATCATCATCACACTCGTCCCCCAGCCCGTCCTGATCCGTGTCCCTCTGTAACGGATTTTCAACTGTTTTGCAGTTGTCACAGGCGTCGCCATGGAGATCCTTATCGCTGTTCTTTTGTTTCACATTATGAACGAGCCAGCAGTTGTCCTAAGACAGAATAAATAAAGTTATACTGTAAAGTGCATCGTCTCAAGTGAGAGGGTTTGTAAAGACTTGTTTGTTTAGTTTATAGTATTGTGGACAGTCCCCATTGATCAACTGTCACAAAAAACAGTAAATGGGGCAGCTCTAGCCAACATGGCTAATTTCCAGCTGTTGTCCCTGGCCAGATGATAATAGACACCCTTCAAATCACAATATATCAACAGCATTAGTTATAAAAAAAGGATGAAAGACAAGTAGAAACAGGCGAAAGGATAAAAGAGAACAATAAACAACACACGTTACTACATACAGTACATGTCACATATAGCACATCACAATCACAATTGTATGAGTTGAGTGAAGCTACCGACATCATCGTTAAGAATGCCATCACTGTCTGCGTCCTCGTCACAGGAGTCCCCCTTCCCGTCACTGTCTGCATCCTCTTGGCCAGAGTTTGGCACAAACACACAGTTATCCTGGAAACAACACAAGTGAACACTCAACATGAGATAATACTAGAATGAATTAAAGGCATAAACAGGGTTGGGTGGGGAGAAATACGTACCTGCTTACAGTTGATGTCTCCGCACGGGAGCTTAGTGTCTGGATACCCGTCAATATCGGTGTCTTTTCCACACACATAGCCATTACCTGCCCAACCAACGCCACACTAACACACACACAAACACACCAGATGGAATATCTTTATTGTGTAAATGATATAATGAGAAACAGTAAGTGATTCATACATTAATGTCTAAGGATGATCTTATTGCTCACCCTACAGCTGATGCTGCCATCTCTCTCCACCACACACTCTCCATTGGCGTCACACGGGCTGGGTTTCCCGTTGGGGCAGAGCCTGGTTGCCTGGCAGCCTCTCTTCTCGTCTCCTGTGAAGCCAGTTTTACAATCTCCACAGCGGAAGGAGCCCTGATGAGGACAATACTGCGTCAACAACCATGGCCTCCTGCTATAAGAGAGTGATATAGTAACTTTTTCAATGGTCTCACTATAGTGTTGTGGCAGTGCGCGTTGGCAGTGCATCCTCCATTCTGCGGCGGGCCCAGACACTCATCTATATCCTCACACACCTGAAAATAACAGATAAAGTCATTGCCAGATATTGTGGACTGTTCGGACAGATCATTTTTGGGATTTGAATGTATCCAAACTAAAGAAATGTGTTAAAAAAACATTATTTTTCTTTCTTACATTCTTATCAGACCTTCAAATACTTGGAAAAATGGTTTAATGACAAATTGAGAAAATGCAGATGTCCTTGTGGAAAAAGGCTCAGCAACATTTCTACCGCATACTGCATGTTAAGTAGAAGTTAATTGATTTAAATAGTGCAATTGAACTGCAATTTAAAAAACATTAAAAAAATTAAGGTCATATGTGTTTATTAGATATTTGTTTTTAAATGTGCAGAACAATTGTCAATGTGAATTTCTGTGTGCACGCACATCTGCAAGTATGTTAAGTTGAATTGAAAGAAGAGCAGGCAGAGATAAACAAAGACAGAAAGAATGTATTTCATACAGCGTATCAATTTAGTTTGTTGTACCTGTTTGTGGGACTTAGCATAAGACACTCCAACTCCATTTATCTCCGGACCGCTGTATCCCAGAGGACATTTCTCACAGCGGAAACCAGGAGCAGTGTTCACGCACCGGACCCCCGGGTAGCATGGCTGAAACTGGCACTGAGACACACAAAAACACTCAATGATAATAAGTGTACTTTTACTGGTTGCAGAGTTGCATGCAAACTGAATAACTTATCAATACCTCGTCTACGTCGTCACAGCGCACCCCGTCTCCTGTATATCCTTCCGGACAGGGGGCGCACTGGTAACGACCTGACTCTAATGGGATGCACATGTTCTGTCTGAAACAGGTCCCAGGTGGGCACTGAGTCTGCGGCTGAGGAGGCTGGGGGGGCTGAGGCTGAGGCTTAGGTTGAGGTTGAGGGGGGGACTTAGGCTTCATGAGAAATGGTGCAGGAGTCGGACCTGTGTTGGTGTTTGGGTTGCCTTCGAGGCCTGTGGACAGATATGAAAGCACGTTATTGAATTATCCCTTAGTCAGACTTATGCAAATACTTTATAAAGGAACACTGTTTTTGTACTGCTTACCACAGGCAAGACACTCTGCAATGGTGTTCCTCAGAAAGGTTGTCTCCTTAATCTAAACCAGAAAGAAAGGTCCGTTAGTCAGGACAAGCTGTGTAGCTTTTTAGCTCATATCAATGGGGGCAAATCAGAATCTCATGTAAAAGGCTGTATAATGTGTGTCTGATAAGGCCAGCTATATTGATCTGGTTCTCTATGCAAAGGATTCACTCAGTGTGTTTGACAAGGGTTAGATGCTAAACTTAAAAAGAAAAACGTATATTGCCTCAGGCTCCCAGTTATTTATGTCTTATCTCCAAACAAATCCTCTACTTTAAATGAGCTTCTGAAATCACCATCTTCTCTATGCTGAGGTCCTTTTCACTTTTCCTCAGCTCTCTGCTGCTGGAGTTACAGCAGTCCTTCCTCAGAGTCTGGATTCTCAATTTTCACAACAAATCGCTCTTTTTCTATTGCAAAACCAATTTTAGCAGAAAGAAAACGGAAATGGCAAATAGTTGTGAATCAGCCCACATTATTCCACTTTAAACCCCTTTTTAAACAACCAAGGACCTCTCGACATATACTGCTACCCAAAGCTTTCCAAATAGCTTTTGTTTTATTTCATCTATTTCACTTCATCTCAGCATTAACCTATTTTAAAGAAACAAGTTAAGTAGTTGTTGGACTTTTAAATAAATCTTGAACAATTTTAAGGTTTTTAAGGTTACCTTTCCATCAAGAGTTACCCGTGTGAGAATGTCAAGAACACAGAGCGGGTTACCTGCTGGTTAAGCAGCACCTTCATGTCAGATAACATGCTCTTCAGCTCCAGCATGCTGACCTGGTCGTGTGTTGTGCTGCCTCCCTGGATACCTGGGGGAATTCCACAAATCACAATTAGAGAGCTGGATAAACAACAACTACTATCCTGATAGGTAAGAATGTCTGAATTTGTTTATCAGGTTATTTTCTCAGCAGTCTTTTCTCACTTAGCAGCTGCAAAGTTTCTCGCTGATCCACGCTGCAGTCCTGCAGAGTCGCCACATTGTCTATGGTGTCCTCTAATACCAGCTTCAAGTCTGTCAGTTCATCCTAACAAAGGAATAACAGATAGGGTTATAAAATGAAATGTATGTGGCATACTTCTCTGAAGTTGTTGCAATGAAGCCGTATTCATATCATTTTAAAAGTTTTCCATGCAGCATTTCTCTGCCTTTAAATGTGTGATTGCTCTCACCTGCCCTCTGGACTGCAGGGTTCTCAGTGCCACCTTGTTGGGCCCGGGGGGGAGAGACCCAAAGGCAGCTGGCAGATCATTCAAAGTGTGTGCCAGTCTGCAGTCCACATAAATGTTGAGGCTAGGTGTGCCGCCCTGAAGGCCTCTGGCATGCAGCATCACATGGTGATCCCGCCCGTCTGCCAGGGACGCGTGGTTGAAACTGGTTGTGGCAAATCTGCCGTCAGTCTTCTGGTAACGAAGGGTCACTGGAGATGGAGAGAAGGGAGAGTGAGAGACAGAGAGAAGCAGCAGGAGAAGTTATTACAATCAAGCAGATAAAGTGGTCTGTTGCAATAGAGGTGTGTTGGTGGATTATTTCACCCTTGCTGAGTTTGGCCTGCACGCTGAGCTCCAGGTACTTGGTGAGGTCTTTGGGGTTGATGACACTGTAGAGCGAGGTGGGGGCCTTGCTGTGGAGGCTGAAGGAAGAGAGGAGGAACGCCTCATCTCGCCCTTTGTTCTTCAGACTTCCCTGTAACAGGTCTGGCAGGCAGTCTGGAGACACCAGCAGGTCGTAGACTAACACAGGAGAGGGTTGTTAAAAACCTGCATTAGACTGCAGTGAACACAGTTAAATACAGACACTACAGTGACTGTTTATAGTTTGTAAAGAGCTTAGAAAAGAGTCAGCTTGTGTTCACTTGAAGCACTCACTCAATCTGGTACACTGTAAAAAACAAACATTATTAATGGAGAGCTTTCTGAGCTTGTGTCTTGATGGCTACCGTTCGCAGTGTACCACAGATTGCTAGAGTCATGGTGCTTTATTATGTGTGACAGTGTACCTGTGGGAGTGTGCACATGCGTGTGTGTCAGTGCATGTTCTTGTTCGCATCCTGCCGTGTTTTATAGAGTGATAGACTGGAGGTGCAGAAAGAAAGGAGCAGCAGTAAAGTCTTTCCACTGGAACAAACCAGCTGCCTCACATGCACGTACACATCAACGCACAAAAACACATGCACACAGCCAAAAGCTTCAAGTAAATACAAAGTGATCCAAAATTATATGGAAAAATGTGCGTGTAGACTCCAGGCAAATCAACGTTTTGCACAAGCACTTTCTCAGCTGGCAGTTAAGGGTTGTTTTAACATTTAAAAAATATGTACTTATTTAGGTCGGATTGTTAATAGATCCAGGAATGACAAACTCTGATAACCACAAGAAAATCCAAACTAATTAGCATAGTTCAACGTTTTACCAGGTTGATGCAGATTAAAAGTTTAGAAGACAACAGATAGTTAGGAACTGAAAAGACTCTAAATTGTACTGATCTATAGACAGAAATATGTTGTTTTCCAGAAGAGCATGGATGCTGAAGAGTACTTACTAATGCCTTGAGCTGTGACAGTGAGCAGCAGCTGTTGCAGCAACAGAGACAGAGCCGCTGCTCTGGCCCACACACCCATCTTTAGTGCCCGAATGTGGGACACACCTCAGGAGAAGCTATGTTCCCGTAAAAAAAAAAGAAGTGTCTGCTTCCACTTATGGATCAGTAGGAATATCAAATATTATTCACCTATTTTAACACAGCATGGTGGAAGAACCCAGGTGTTGAAGCAACATCTCAGCAGAGGTGAGATGGTTTTGTGGACGCAGGCACAGCTTTTAAAGCAGAGGGGAGGGTCCTTGCACTCGACTGCTGCAGAAGTGGCACAGTGTAGGAACCAGTTTAATAGTTAGAGGGAGTGTCCCCTTGCAGCTACTGTTCCAACAAAATATAAAGTGTTTGATGTCCCTATGTATAGTATTCCAAAGGGAATTGTCAAAATACTGGATTACTTATTCTATATGAGCTGTTATTATTTTACTATTTTTAAGAGTCAAGAGAAAGCTTTTATTCCTTGAATATTCATACTATCTTTTGGGGTTTCGTAATATAACAGCATTAAACCCTTCTGTATATCAGCTAGTACAGCCAAATCTAAAATGTCTGAAATGGATTGTGCCTGGGTCTAAAGGGGAAAGGCTGATCCCAGCTGGCCTTTGTTTTTCACAAACATCACAAACCTGTGTTATAAATGTGGATTTGATTACCTGGTAAGCCAGTTATTAAATTATATAACTGCGTGCCAGATGTTTTTTATTTGAATTTAATGTAATTTCACTGGTTGTACATGCCTCTGCAAACCTTTTCTAAATTCCATCTGTTGGAGAGTGTGGGAAAGGGAAGACACAGAGGGCTAGACTTGAGACCCTGGAAAGATTTCATGATAGAAGTCTGGTACTCATCTTAAAGCTTTCTCTACAAACCTACATTTCAAACTCTCAGCTGCTGGTCCGAGCCAAAGAGCGACATTTACCATCCCTCTGAGCATTATCAGCACGCATCCGTCTGTGTCTGGCTGTCTGGTCTCCAACCAAACACCTGGCAGCCTTCAACTGTCTGACTGTCAGCCGGTGGACATACGTCATGCCATTGTTTCTGAAGATAAGTGAAATGTCAACAGAAAAATCGAAATGAGTATTTGACATTTTTTGACATAAAAATCTAAAGTGAAATGGGCACTTCCATTCCTGATATAAATTAAGTCAGTCTTCATAACAATGGATGCTGAATGTATCACTGTTCCTTTCAATCCTAATGTGAAAATACTTCACATTTCTGAATGACGATTGATCTTAAAATTCACGTGACAAGAGACAACATGTGAACTCAGATTCCAATGATTGCTGGAAGTGCTGCAGCTTCACCTTCTCTGGCCAAAGTGTCAGTGCTATTGGCTAAAGGTTCATGAAAGTATAAGAAAGCATTACAAGGACCAACTTCTATTTCTGCCCGAGGCTACATTTTCGCCGTTGATCCACAAATCATCTCTCTGTGGAGCCGTGGATTTGATTAAGAAGAGTATGATGGTGGGAAATCAAATTATAATGAGAAACTGGAGAAACCCAGATGAGCCCTCTTTTTAGGAAAGGTTCACAGAGTTGGCAGAAGTGGCATCACACGAACACATTTCTTTCAGCTTTAAGGATAGCTGGGAAATATTGTGTGGAGAGTCTTCTTTAAACACATTGCTAATGTGGACAAATATTAAAATCTTAAAAACCAGGTTCCCCTACATATACTCAAGTCCACAGCACACACTTTACAAACTGAAACAAGGTGCAGTGCTGTGAGGAGATATGGTTGAAAGAAAGTCCCTTCCAGATCAAATAAAAAAACAAACAGATAAAGTTTATGTTGTTGTTTTTTTGGGGCGCCAGACTTGCTGACTGTTACACTTACCTAAAGTTACCCTATATATACTATCTATATAAACTCTACATGTAAATACAAATAAACATATTTGTTATATATGTTTTGTTATAAGAATTCATCATTCTGCAAATAATGGTTGCAAATGAATATGAATATATGTCATTTGTGTACTTTAAGACCTCCATAGTTGTATTTTATTTTTATTTTTCAATGATTTTGTGTCTAGAACCCACGATGAGTGGCAGATGTATCTGTATCAAGTTTACTAATGGCGATCCTAATCAATTAATAATTATTGTAATTGACTGTGTCTCTGGTGTCGGATAACTATTGTGTTGCTTGTAATATTCATGTAGGAATATACGCTTTATTTGTGTTAATTCCTATTCAATGTTTATGTCTTTACTAAAATGTGACAATGTTTATATTAATAACAAAATAAAAACGTGTGTATTAAATAATATTGATATAGAAAACATTGATTTTGTTCACCCTGATATGACAGGTATATTGTGACGTCACCTGCAGCTCTCCTTCCATGAAGCAAACATGGCGGCTGCCATGGAGCTGAGATGCTGGGGAGGAGACTGGGGTTTGCCTTCTGTCCACACCGAGTCACTCATAGTCCTGGTAACGTTACCCTCCGCTTCTTAAACAAAATACACGGTTATTATATCCAGCATTGCTTTTAAGACAACATGTTTCTTCACGTGGTTTCTTTGCGTCTTCTCTGTGTTTCTCTGGTTAGCTCCCATGCTACCTTGCCTGCTGCAGTTTCAGACTCTGCAGGATAGAAAACAATATTTCCGGTGTAATGTTTGCAAAGATGCAACATATCTTTGCTTACTGCATGGTCTGTCATTCGTGAAGGACTGGCTCTCAGATATCTCTCTTTTGTCACAGAAATGTGGTCCTTCAAGGTCAGCTTGATGAAGCTCCGGTTTTCATTTATATGGATATATTCACCTGTGTCTCGCTGGCTAACGTTATCTTTAGATGTAGTCCTAACTTTGTCAGGAAAATGAACATAGAGTACTTTTCTGGATGTCAGCGATGTATGTCAGTGAATCACTGCAGTTACAACTCCTGCCACAAGGTGACACTTTGACTGATTTATGAACAAGATGATGCTTTCCTTATAAAGCATTTAGATAGTTATACTAATGTAGTTGTTTTAGTTTATTGACAGCAGTCTTGTATGGTTAGTATCAGTACAACGAAATGAAACATTTGATTAAGAAAATACATTTTAGTGGCAGCTCTTCTTGATTTAATTGGTCATATTTCTTTCTTAATTTTTGTACATTTGAATTGTTTTCCAGTTCCAGTTTCAAACATTTAGCTGCATTACAACTATCTTACAAAAGTTATTGTTGATTGTATTACAGTCCTTCACTGATGGTATAAACAGTTCAGGAAGTACAGTCCCAGCATAACATTTATGACAAAAATCCTTGCTGCTGTAAAGGTTTTCTCTTTTTATCATCTTTCCTGATGTGCAGTTTTTTCTTTCAGGCATACGCCAAGTTTTCAGGGGCAAAAGTCACAGTTTCTCCGATAGACTGGACATGGAAGACTCTAACAGGTGGCCTGCACCTTTCCATAAACTAGCATGACATAACGTTGTTGTTCAGACACCGCATGAACTGTGAATTATTTGACTGATAAAGGAGTATTTCATTAGTATATACATACATATGCATACTTCAAATCACACAACAATGTTTTTATTTGTCAGAATTTGTTTCAAAATAGTGAATACATGTCAATTGTAGGTAGAGAATACATGTTTATTACCAGACACTAACAATAACATGATCATTTTGACACCAGATCTTTTCTCAAAGTGTAATATCTTCTTCCTGTTATTCAACCTGCAGCGACAGTCCCAGAGTTGCTGTGTGGAGATGTTGCAGTTCAACAACCATCTCAAATTCTCAATTTCCTGAGGAAACAGGTGAGAATAAATGCCAAGGTTTCTCAATGTCCATCACCTGCTCAATACATCCCCACACTCATTAAGCAGATTCATAATATTGACTGTATTGTTTGTGTACTCTCAATTTCAGAGGTTTAATGCAGACTATGAGCTGTCAGCCAGACAAGGAGCCGACACCATGGCTTACATCGCTCTGCTGGAGGAGAAACTACGACCAGCTCTGGTAACTCCCTCTCTCTGCTTGTGTCCTGACAAGAACTAACCTGTGACTTCTGTTTATACTCGAAGTGATGCTTTGTCTCCCACAGATGCACACTTTCTGGGTGGATGCAGAAAACTACGTCAATCTGACACGGCCGTGGTTTGCTTCACGCTCACCCTTCCCTCTCAACTTCATCGTCCCGGGTCGCCTTGCCAGCACCGCCCTGTCCCGCATCCTGCTAACCAAAGGAGAGGCGCCACTACACCGAATCACTGAGGTGGAGGGGAAGGTACATATTGACCATTTGTTTCAACTCTGTGTTAATGTGTTAAGTACTCTTTTTCACACTGTAAACCTCTCATTGTCTGCCTCAGCTCTACAGTGATGCTAAAGAGTGCCTGAATCTCCTCTCATACAGACTGGGAACTGCAAGCTACTTCTTTGGCAACTCGTGAGTTCTTTAATGTCATTTAAAGCAACATAAATGTAGCTTTGGAAATTAGTACTGAGTACAGTTTTATTATTTGTTATCACAGAAAAAACATATACTATGTGATAAAAAGTAATATAATTAAATGTGATCAGAAAAGTCATTAAATCCTCCTAAAAAAACTTAAGAGTGTACCATGTCCATGTCACAAACAAATATCATTACATTTCGTTGTATATTATCCAACAAAAAAAGTCAGAAAAGTGCAAGTTTATGTATATTACATGTAGGTGCAAAGCTATTGGACAAACACAAGTTGAGATGGAAATATTGTCTTGTTTTTTAGATGTGTGGTTAGGAGTTTATACTGGTGTTAGTTTACTCATTTAAGTTGTCAAGTTGATGTTCATCACATTAGAAGGAATGGCAAAGTGTTTGAAAGTATTTCAAAATGATTCATTGTAAATCATTATGTTTAAAACACTGTCAATACGAGTAATACTGTTTAGATATCTAATAGCCCAATATATCTCCCTTTTTGTTTGTGTTTGTAGGCCAACCAGTCTGGACGCCTTTGTGTTTGGCTTTTTGTCTCCACTTTACAAAGCGGGTCTCCCCAGCAGCCCGCTGCAGAGCCACCTCCAGCAGCTGCACAACCTCACAAGCTTCTGTGACAACATCCTCGCTCTCTACTTCAACGCCGACCGTCCATGTAAGATCGCTGCACCCACTGGAGATGCTCACACACTTGGTGGAGAGGATATTTATATCAAAAAACACAAGCACATGCATAACTAACATCATTTTCATTTTCCTTCTTCTCACACCTCTGTTTCTCTGCACGCTTGCCCTTGTGTCTGCTTTATTGGTCTAACACTCTCCATTGACTCTGCTATCTTCTCCTCTGGGTGGCCCCTTACACCTCTTCTCTCCAGGTCCTCCCCCACCTGTTCAGGAAACAATGGATGCCAACCTCCAGAAACTAACTCAGCTTGTAAACAAAGAGTCCAACTTGATAGAGAAGGTGCTTCTGCTTTCCTTTTGTCGTCTCTTTGCATGGGCTCATTGTTGCGTTTGGCAGATACAGTCTCAGCTGTAATGAAAGTATATACAGTAAATTCTCTCTCACTTACTCATTATCATAATATGATGTGCTCTTACTAACTTTGACATCCTGTACTGTAGATGGATGACAACCTCCGCAGCAGCCCTCAGCACAAACCCCACAGAGTAGACCCCAAACCCAGCCTGGCCAGCGAGAAGAGCTCCACTCCTGCGTGACCCCCCACCTTTCCACCCTGATCCAGCCGAAAGAAAGGAAAGGTGCAGCTCTGAATCCGACTCAACATCCGAAAATCCCCCAAAAATATCTTCCAGCTGAACTACAGTTTGAATGGAAAAAAACCTAATAATAGAGTTATGATTATAAAAGAGACTATTTAACAGAGACCTAATGATGATAGATTTCAAAGATGCTGGTCTGAGAGAGAAGGAAAAGTGCATGTGTGAGGTTTTTAAAAAGGTTAAGCGCATGTATGTGGTTATGGATGGAATGCTAAGAAGTGGTGTTTAATGAGAAAGACACAAAGTCTAAATGAAAGCTGAAGGAAATGTAAAGTCCAGCAGGGAAGAGGTGGCCCTGTTTGACCTGAGAGTGGACCACTTAAAGGAGCAGTGTAGGAGTTAGTGGCATTTATCAGTTAGAAGTTATATTTATACATAACATATTCCATTACTGCCAATAAGGCCACGTTTTTTAGTGCGGCTCTACTCGATTCTTCTCCAATGCGTAGGGTATCGAAAAACTGTAGCCTGGGTGATAAGCTAAGGTACGCTCCTTGATACTGCCGTGTAAATGAGAGACTTGCTGAATCATTTCAACTGCAACAAAACCGAAGAAAGTCTGCATTCCTTGGTGTTCAGTTTAGTTTTGCCGGCTGCCATTTATTCAAAAAACCTTGGTGTAGTTAAAAGAAAAGCAAATGTGATCGCTATTGATAAAGCAAACGCCATAAATCTCCTTCATTCCACATAATGGCCCTGGAACCTCTTCTTCCTTTTGATTCCTGTAGGAAGTATGTACTTTCTCTACAACCCTTTATATTTAACATATTTAAAGGTATATTATGCCGTTTTTCCTCAAAAAACCGATGCATAGACTGCCTTTTAATCACCACTAATGACTCGAATGGTGTGTGGAGATTTATCAGCGGAGACCCTGCCCCCCTAGAGTATTTTCTCCTTTTTCTGTGTCCAGGTTGTTTCTAAGGGTCATGGTGGACACAGCCAACATCCCTAAGTGGACAAAGCTCATTCCAGTCTGAGGTTGGCTTTTAGCTTGCTGTATGTGACGCAGCATGTGGTCTCCCACTTCTGGTGTATATGAGCTGGGGGGGGGGGGAGGAGGAGACATCTGCACTTTTACAAACGGCAAGCAACAATTCCTGCATAGTATGCCTTTCAAGACGTCACTAAAATATGAAAACTGCTAAAGCACCTACATTTGTTTAGATATCTGATGTTATTCCAGTTTATAAATCTGTGTTTCACCATGAAAAACATGGGTCCAGATCCTTTAGCGCCACTCTGAGCTCACATCCTCCTATCTGCTGTAAAAAAGAAAAACCTGTGATTTCTAATGACATTCAGTTAGACTAATATACAGTAGGTATGCAGTGGTGGCTATAGGAATATCCTAACATTAGCTTTCTTTGCTCTCACCGCCTCTGCTTTGTAAAGATGTATAGTTGTAAATATGTTCATGATTCAGATCAATGCAATGGTCCCTCTATTAGAGCCGAATAGCTCCTTCACACTCTGCTAGATACACGGAGGACATTTATACTTGCTGTATTAAGTTATTCACAATATGTGGCACTAATCTGTGTTTGGGTGTATGAGAAACCAGTGTGTGTCTTTTAATTATAATGTATTGTTTATGCAAGATGCTCTGTATCATTAACAACTTACTGTTGTTGCCATGGTTCTCCACTTTTTTGCAGTCTTTGTTTGTTTAGATTTTCTGCTATGTTGTATGTTGTGCCTATTTAACGTTTATCATGTTAAAACTGAGGTGTCTGTCCCATTTGGTAATGTCTCATTAGTTGCCTTTTTTTCTTACTTTAACCGTCTGAATTTCTGAAATTGGACAGTAAAATGAGTTGCCACTTTTCTTTACTGTTTTGTTCCCTAATTTTCTCACAGCCTAATGCATGTTTACTCCAACACGTTCATAGCGTCCCTGGTGTCAGTCCAAAGGAAATAACTCTTGTAAAGATAGTTTGGCTCATGCAAATTGCCTAAAATCCCTTCATGGTTCCATTCTCGGTAAAGCACTGTATTCTGAAACAAAAGTGAGTGTGTTTCCAATAACAAATCTTAGCGACAACAAACATGCCGGTGAGGAACATATGGGTGTGTGTGCCTACACGACTGCTAGTGTCTTTGTACAATTGTCAACATGTTAACAGTGTCCTCCATCATTTTTGATACATTCCCGTAAATTATCTTCATCATTTTTGTTTCTGTTCATTCTCTGTGGGCGGCTGGTAACGACTGTCATCATATTATTCAAATACAAATAAGATAATCCAAGTATGATCACTGTCTTTTTTTCTCCCAAGAAAATGAACGCTTAATATAATTTCCCTTGAAACAGTCAACATGGAACCTGATTAAATTGATGAGCTGTTTGCAAGGCATGCTATTGGGTGATTTTCCAGTAGAAGATTTCACTGCTCACCATGCCTACTGAGTGATGTTTGGAGCATAGAGAGCTCTTTGTTTGGTTTTGGCCTTAGACTTGGAAAACATGAGAATGTTTAAGCTGTAGGGTAAGCATGCTGAACATCATCACATATTTTCTAAATCATCGGTCCTGTGAGGGAGAGTCTTATCTTGACTGGCGTTGAATAGGTGTGGCAATGGGAAATAATTAGCACATCTGGGTCTGTTGTCAATGTTGTGCTAAAGATATTCAAATGTTTTGTGTGAGCATCTCTTTAATGCAGTGATTTAATGCCACTTTTATCATCCCTTTTCTCTCAGTTATTTGTACAATAAACCATGTCTGAGTCACACAAACGGTAGTCTTCAGCAGTGAGATTGGAGCCTAACTTTCCTCTACAAGAGAAAAATATCTTCCTGAGTTAAACTACAAATATTTAACTTCGCAGCGCTGTGTTACCAGTCCCATTCTCGGTGAAATTAGGCTGACAATTATAAAAAGCAGTCCAACAAATCACATGGAAGCCATCAGCTGTTCCCTGGCGGTCTTTATGCATTTACACCACAATCCCTTTCCTCTCTGTTTCCACAGGAATTAGGGGAAAATGCCTGGAAAAATAGTTTTGTAATAATTGTTAAAAGACATGTCCTCTGGAGAACCATGTAGCCTGTCTGTGAGGTGTTAGGAACACATTTTGAGCCGATATCACAGCCAATGGAGGGATGAGGCCCTCTGGTGGTAGGTGTGTGTTATGAGCTGAAAACAAACAAGTAGTCCAGTTGTGCAAATAGAAAAATAAACATGTTAATTCAGCTCAGATGTTAACATCAGTTTACAAGTCAAAGAGAGAAAAAAAATGAATCTCCTCTTGCAACCAGTCTCACATAACAAAATATAGAAGAGGTCACATCTGTTTACAAAGGTTATTTACACAAATTCACAATATGAAATACAGTTCAAAAGTGCCACAGTATGTTTCTTGGAGCTATAAACTCCAAAATAAAAGGCTTTACTATTGTCTGAGTAAAATGTTGTGTTTCACTTCAATGATGAATGAACACTTTAAATTAGTCAATTCTAGAACATTTACAGTAAAAAAAACAATCAAATCAGCAAATATTATGGTCAAATTTACAAAATGATCCAAAACATGCCATTGACCAAACAAAGGAAGACACTCAACTGTGGAAAAAAATGCAAGGCACTCAATTTCAATCGAGTAGTTTTCCAGACTGTCATATTTTCACTGATTTTACAAGACAGCTTCTGCTTAAAAAAGAGATACATGTTGGGTTTGTTTCCTGTTTATCAGAGACCGCTTGTTGTTGAGGTAAACAAAAAAAACACACAAACCAATAATTGGAGAAGAATGGGAACAAGTTAGTCCTCTGTCTTCACATCTTTACATCCTGCATATCTGCAGTTTCATTTCAATTGTTATACGATGAGATCCTTCAAATCAAATGATGTCCAACATGAACTGTAAACTCCTCAGAGAGTGAGAGCTAGCTGTCCTTGGTAAACTCCGGCACCTCCTGCACCATGCTGACCTCCAGGCTGCCCGGCACCTCCAGGCCCAGAGCAGGGTGGCACGGCTGGGGGAAGCGCTGGCAGAAAGAGCCCAACACCTGCCCACTCTGAGCGTTGTAGAAAGACAGACGACCAAGCTTGTAATCCAGGAGAGTGCCCACCCGCTCAGGCATCTCCATCACAAACACACTGGACTGGACGTCATTGTGCAGCAGCTGATAACTGCAGCTGGACAGAGAGAGAGAGGAAGAACAAGAGGTTTAGACCAGGGGTGTCCAAACTACGGCCCATTTTGAAACGGCCCTCAGCTAATTCAAATAGTATAATGAAATATGGCACACAAATTAAACTAATGCTTGTCATATATTGTACTAATCAAATATATATGTACAAATATATATTATCAAAGTATTCATGTGTGCCCACTTTTCAAATTAATTAAATCAATTAAAGTTGGAAACATTTTCAAACTAATCTTAGTTGATATAAAAAGCCCAATCACTTATTTGCCTAATACATCTTTTTATAAGCAATCTGAAGCTTCTGTTTTAAGCCATGAGCTGCAAACTAAATAAATGAAACGCTATGGAGATCTGTGATGTAGGCTGTTGTGTTTCTTGCAGCATTTTGAAGTATCAAGCTTAATTTACCTACATTTGATTGATTTTGCTAACTTATAACTTAGCATATGAGGCAAAATACCTCACCTCTAGTGAGGGGCCCAGCCCTTCATATATTTTTCTGTATGTGGCCCTCGGTGAAAAAAGTGTGGATGCTCCTGTTCTAGACCAACACAGTGATAGGAAGTGCAATAAATAAGGCAGTCAGGGAGTTCTTTATGCATACCCTGATGGTGTTGGGATACACTGCAAACACCATGACAAGCTGTTTTCTCCCAGTGGGCTGTTTCTATTGGCTGTGCTGTCTGCCACTCCGATCCTGTAAGCTGTGCTCCCTGACACCACGGTCTCCCAGTAGTAATGTCCGTGTGCCGGCAACAGCTCTCCCAGGATGGATGGACACCTGCAAAACACACACACTCAGTTCAGTTTCAATTTGATACAAAAACAATTAAAAAGAACAGGAACAATCCTAAGACATAATAGAGATACGTGAAATGGGACACCATGATGAGCATTCTGAAGCTTGAGAATAGGGGCCCAGACACTAACCATATAGTATTTTAAATATACAGTGTTGTTTGTTATCATGTTGTTTAAAAAGTAAATATATTAGACATTCTACCTACAAAACTTACTTTACTAACCCTGACTACCAAACTATATGGTTCTAAAATATGTATAACATCAGTCCTAGCATTGGTATAATACAACAGGTACAATACAAAAAATAGAGATGTTTAGCAAATGGAAATAACAGTACCATTTTTAATTAATATTAGAGTAGAGTTACTAGTTTAGAAGTCGCCAACCATTAAAGATATTAAGGCTTTAACATATTGTTGTAGCAACTGATTCCTTAAGATCTTTTAAAAACCGACTCAAATAAAGATGTTTGTGTTATACATTTGTTTTCCAGATGTGTGCTAACCATGCTAAAGCTCACACATTTACCTATATGTGTAAACTCCTGTTGGAGTGGCCAAAGCTGTCTGAAACTCACTGTGTGTCTGTAGATTGTGTGTTTTCGTGTGCGTCCTGAGAGTAGTGCACAGTGGTCTGATCCACTGACAGCTCCAGAGCAGGGTGGGCCGAGGCCTTCAGCAGGTGGAACCTCGTCCCTGAAGACAGAAACAGATAAGAGACAGATAAGAGTGAATGATGTTCTGTTTTCCTATTTGTGTAATGTTACATCCAGACAGACTTACAGTTAAAGCGTGTGTTTAGTTACCTTTGCTGGAAATGAGGGCCGCCTCGCTCTGTTCGCTGGCTCCAGACTCATTCACAGCTTTGATGTAGAACAGATAATTCTCATTGGGCTGCAGGAGAACCTTCTGTTCACAGCTTCTGATCGCTGAGATGGACCTAAGTTGCAACACACACATGCAAACATAGATTAAAATAAAAATATTTTTAAAAAAATGATTAGTTAAAGGTAATGGAGAATGGAGAAACCAGCTCGAGTGCGCTAGAATTAGAAAATACGCAGCCGAAAAAAATCTGCCCCTTCCTTCAGACTTCCTAACGGAGCCCCTCCTCCAACACACACGAACGCGCACATGACCAATCAGGGCACGAGATAAGTCTGAAGGCTGACAGGCAGGTAGGCCATCCAGTTATTTTAGCCGGGCCGGCTCAGATGATTGGTCGTGCTTTTTACAGTACTACGGCTTCCACAGATGATTTTTTAAAATGTATTTATTGTCAAAGGCAAAGCATTTAATGTATTCATTGCTATCGGGAAGTTAAGAGCATTCCATGGAATATAACAAAAATGGTTTCTGAAGTGAATTACCTACCCCACCTTTAAGCCTTTATTGATATTGATTTAGGGTAATTTCAGGTGTTGCATAAGCAGAAAGACAGAAATAACTACAGCAAGCACTATATGCATGTCCTTACATTTTCATATCAGATATAGTTTCTTATGAATATGTTTTGTACCAAATTGACCAACTTTCCATTTATTGTATAATTGCACATTTCTGTCTTTTCCACCTCTTTATATACATGAACCTATCTGTACACCCACCTGAGCCCCTCTCCCTCCAGCTCATACTGGCGACAGTACTCCAGGGTGTAAGTCTGCTCTGGAGTCAGATTTGTTGAGCTCCATCGCAGCGTGGCTGAGTCCCACATGACAGTGCAGCGCTCCGTGTCGATCACTGGCACTGATGGAGCTGCCACAAAGAGAACAAGATGTCATTGACAACTTAAAATTACCTTTAACCTTTGAAAGTCTTTCTGGACCTCCAAAAATATAGAAATATAACAGAAATGTCATATATGTAATATATCTTCCCCACAATGCCAGTATTAAAAAGACCAATGTTGTTGTGACTTTTAGCTTCAGTGTGTGTACTGACCGGTTCTGAAGGTGAGTCTCTCGCTGGGCAGGGAGCAGCCTGTGTAGTTGACGGCCATCACCCACACTTTGTAGGTCTTGTCAGGCTCCAGCTCCTCCAGCACACAGTAACTCTCCTTCACCGTCACACGGTACTCCTCTGACACCGCTGCAGACACAACACATGCACAGTGTTTATTAAATTAGAAAGTAATTTAGACCTCATAGGTTTTGTGTGAATTTACCTATTCTAAATACATAGAGGGAGTTAAACACCAAAAGAGAAAATACATGTATGTTCCGTCTGTGTGTAGTGCACTTTATTAATCTTGATTTTTTTTTTGTCTGAGATGTAAGTGTTAGAGATACTGTGTCTGCTTTCTCTACAATATAATGGAACTCCAGTAGATGGGCCTTTGCTTATGGTGCTCAAAGCCGTAAAAAAAATCATGACCTGGCTTAAGAAAATCCTGGCTTAAGAAAATCCTTATATCTGTAAGCAGAACATATTTCTGAACTTTCCTGTTAACAAAAAGTATGAATTAATTGGAATTTTAATGAAAATGATACATGAACTTAATGTCTGTTAATCAGTTTAGATGGTACATCAGTAGGTGGTGTTATACATAAAAGATGGGAGCACTTCCACCAGCATATTCAAGTGTAAATACCATCCTGGACGCATTTACCTCCTTGTGGATCCTCCATGCAGTAGACCTGGAAGCAGTCTATGATGTCTCCAGGGTTGACCTTCCAGTAGACAGTGACGCTGGTGCTGGAGGCTGAGGCCGGCTCCTGAGCCTGCAACGTGGGCCTCTGAGGTACTGAGGAGCACAGCAACTCAACATTCACAACTGCTACATATATGAGAAAAAAAGCACAATAAATATGTCAGATGTATCTGCAGAGATATGTTTACATCAGACCAACCTGGGATTCCTTTGCGCTGTGCGAGGTTAGAGCTGGAAGTGTTGCCCTTGGCGTAATCCTCGAACACCAGCAGGCCCTTGGGACCCAGCTCCAGTGACATGGCTGAGTCCAGAGCTGCCTTGAGACTGACCACACAACCACAGCATTTAGCCACAACTACAACTCAGTGACAAAACATATATTTTGTATATCCTGAGCAGAGTAAAAGTGAAATTCTGACTGCAGATCAAGCAGCAGATTGTATTGTTAATCACTTTCTAGTCAAATGTTGGTATTAACGGTATAAAAAGCCACATTAGCTCATCCTCCATTCACTAAAAAGCACATTACCTTGCATGAATTTCATCAGATGACTGGTGGGAAAACAGATAAAAGAGGGTTTTATCAGATATGTCAAAAACCTTCATTGGCTGAAAATGATACCACAAATCAATCAGCTTCAGGACTCACCCGAGCGCCAGTCTCAGCCTCTCGGGCCGTGGTCTCCAGAGTGGCCTTGGCCGAGTCCATGCTCTCCTGGAACGACACAATCTGGTCGTATAGCTGCTCCAATTTGGCTTTCTTCTCCTCCTCCATGCTGACAGACATGTTGTTGTACTGCTCCATCACCAGAGCCATCATCCCCTCATTCTGCGCCTGCATCGCGGCCTCGCTTTCCACAAACTGGTCCTAGTCGAGAAAAGAGGGTCGGAAAACAGAGATATTATATTTACAAATGAAATACTATGTATTATGATGTATTATATGTATTTTTGTCTAATGGCAAATACAATATGTTGTGCTTTTAGCCATCAGGCTCCACAACCAAGGGTTAACCGTGTAACCCATCAAAAAATAACCTGCAATACACTTTAATAATAATTGCACCCGCACTGGTACCTGCACATTTAAATGTTTATATATTTAACCAAGCCTACATATCTGTATATATGTACATTCATACAGTTACTACATGTTTATTCTTATTCTATATTATTTGTATTAATATTATTATCCTTGTGATTATTTTCATGTGTGCTATCTTTGTTTCTTTCTTATTCTGTTGATGCTATAACACCTGAATTTCCCTACGGGGATCAATAGAGGTCCATCTTATCTTATCTTATCTTAAATATTCCAAAAAGGTATTTTTGTATTAAATGTGGAGTAACTTTGTTTTACCTCTACAGAGTTGTAGGCCAGCTCGAGCTCAGACACCAGGTCCTCGATGTTCTCCGACCTGCCCTGAAGCTCTGAGATCCAGTCGCTCAGCTTCTCCTGATGAAACACACACGTGAGGGTAAGATGTAATGTTTACATCCCAAAGCGTCTGACAACAAGACACAGCTGGGATTATAGACATGTTCACAACTCCAAATCAAAAAGAATACTTTCATTTACATGTTTAAATTAAAATAGCTTTTGTTGTTTTGTTATTATTCTTGTATTTATTCCTTGTTTATCAATATTTACTATGACTATTTTTTTGTATTAGTATTCATTCTTCTGCTGTACTCCTGCACCATTCAAAGCCCCTACAAAAAAAGTACAGTACAGATTAACTACTGAAAATATACATATGTGCAAATGAATATTATCAGAAAGAAACTTGAACAAAGTTAACCTATTCAGTGAAGAAAGATATGTTCATTGCAAGTTTGTAGAAGTGACATTTCATGACAAACTAAGTCGTCATTCTTAAGTGTATGAAAGTATGAATTGTATTAAGGCAATCTAATGGCTCTGTACAGTCCAAGTTAACAGGAGATGGATGCTTTCTGTTTTTAGACTGATAAAACAGTTTGATATTTTGGGTTAAATGTGGCCTACTGTAGCTTTTAGTGTAATAATAAAGAAGGATATTCTAGGAGAAACAGCAGTGTGATCCCCACCCAAACACTGACAGCTCACATTAAAGGCTGACCGCCACTCCTCTAAGGGTCAAAAGACAGGTGTGTGTGTGTGTGTGTGTGTGTGTGTGTGTGTGTGTGTGTGTGTGTGTGTGTGTGTGTGTGTGTGTGTGTGTGTGTGTGTGTGTGTGTGTGTGTGTGTGTGTGTGTGTGTGTGTGTGTGTGTGTGTGTGTGTGTGTGTGTGTGTGTGTGTGTGTGTGTGTGTGTGTGTGTGTGTGTGTGTGTGTGTGTGTGTGTGTGAGGAAGAATGTTTGAGCATACTTGCACGCATCCATGTCTGAAGAGATGTAGCAGTCGGGGATTGCACATATTAGTTTAGGATTGGACTGGAAACAGATTGGCAACATTGTTTAGGTAAACTTTGATCAAGTTTCTCCCTTTGTGGAAAATCTGAATAGACTGCACACCTTGGTGCTGAGGTCATAATTGCAAACTAAGCTTTGATATTTGTCTCAAATATCGTCTAGAATATAATTTAGAAATGACATTTGATCATCTTCAATGTGTTGCAGGTAATTTCCTAAATCTTTAGATGCAAAAAGCTGTGATTATTTACCGAATGCACATCGTCAAGTCATACTTGTTCTCTAAAGTATCCTCACTGATTACAGAATAACAATAGAAAACATATGCATATATTGTATCTGTGAATAAATGGCTTAAGGTATGAACCTGCAGGTTGAAAACTGGACCGATGGCTAGTAAAAGACCGAAAAATGTTTGATTGCTATTAAAAAGCAAATGTCTGACCCTGTGCTGACCTGCTGACCCATAGGGATAGTCAGGGAGAATAGTGTGTGTGTCTGTGTGTGCGTGTGTGTGTTAACAGATCACATATCAGTCCCCGCTTTATGATGTCACACTGGACCTTCACGGCAGTTCAATGTGCTTGGCTGCAGCCTGACAGCAGTGTGAGGTCTGCCAGCATTAATAAAAGGTTATATCCCACTCTCTTTGGATTACTTTATTCTACAGAGACTCAAACTAATGCCAGCCAAGTGTGCGATGATCATAACCCTGTGTTGTAATAATGCTGATGGAGTATATGATGATGAGCTGCTCTTTAATAACAGTGTGCCATCAGACATCAGAACTGCATCTGAGTTGTTTCCGTGGTAGCAGCCTGCAAATATGTTAAGAAACAGAAAAACCTGGGAGATGCTGGGAAATCTGTACATGTATGTATAAGTCATACATTTGACTTACTTTTAGTAGTTATTGATGGTCTACATTATTTTTACTACTAGTTATACATCAATTATGTTAAGTTTAATTACACAACTGGGGTCAATCTTTATCTCTTCCTCTAAATAAACATTTTTTCAAACTCTCAGATACATAAGAGATGTATTGTATTAAAGATGTATAGCTGCAGTCACTACACACACGTCATTTTCTGTAGTGAACTCCTGTTAAATATACAACATTTTCCTATTTACACAGTAGGCTACATTACCTTGATTTCCTCATAGGCCTGGTCCACAGCAGTCACTTCGTGCTCGTGATGCTCCCCCGAGCTGCAGTCGTCCTCTGCCAGCAGACCGCCACAGGTCAGACAGAACCAGTCCATCCCCTGCAGCTCTGCAGCCAGCTGGGCCTGACTCTGCTCCTCTGCGTCAATGATGTCGTAATCAGCTTCAATGACCTCTTCTTCTGGGGACACATCAAGGACTTTCTCCTCCGCCTCCATCTCCATCTTCTGTTCTTTCTCCTGACCAGACTCCAGTTTTGGTTCCTCTGCATCTCTGTGTATCTCAGGTTCGGGCATCTTTTTGACATCCTGTTTAGATATGACCTCATATCCAAGCTCCTCAACAATGTCCTCTTGAGTCTCTGCAACTTCCACATCTTGCTCGATCTTTTGGTCTACATCCTCTTTGTGCAGATCCATTTCTGTAATGAAATCCTCTTTAACGGGGCTTGTTTCTGGGGCCTCTTCCACTGTTGGCATTTCTACCTTTTGTTCTACATCTGCTGCTTCTGACTGTATTTCCTCTGGCTGTAGCTCAGACAAATCCTCCTGGGGAGTAAAGCTCCTCAGAGTGGAAACAACACCCCTGTCTTCTATAAAGTCCAACTCCATCTTCTGCTCCTCTGCGTTGCCCTCCTCCGTAGTTGCTGGAGGAGAGTACGTAGTGTCTAACTCGTTTCTGGGTAGAACATCTTCCTGCTGCGCAACGTTTGTTTCCAGTTCCGTCATTGTTTCTTCATTGAGAGTCTCTGGGCATGTAGTGGTGGGTTCAGATTCGTTGGTATGCTCCTCTGCAGTTGCTGGAGGAGAGTAATTAGCATCTAACTCGTTTCTGGGTAGTGTTTCTATATCTACAACTTCTGGTTTTACTTCCAGATGATGCTCTGCCGTTGTTTCTTCATTAGGAGCCTGAAAAGTCTCTTGGCATACTGCAGTGGGTTCAGGAGCAATTATTGCTTCACATGTGCTGTCAGGTTCAGAAAGAGCTACTGTATCACGTGTAGACTTCTCTGATGTCTGACTGAACTCTATGTCCACCTCTACAGCTTGTCCTTTGGGAACAAGGAGGATAAACTCATCATCTACATTAACCTTCTCCTGAGCAACACTCCCAGTTACCTCAGCGTTTGTTTCATCGTTGGCTTCAGGTGTGAGCTCACTTTCAGGCATTGACTCATGCTGTGAATCTATCTGGACTTCTTCTGGCATCTCAGGTTCTATTACTTCACTTGAAATCTCTGCTTTAACCTCTGGCTCCTGATCAGCGATATCGATAATGAATTCAGGGGACTGGCTCTTGACTGCGGTTTCATCTGTTAGAGCGCTGTCTTCCCCTTCAGGAGCTGCTGTTTGAATGTCTTTTGTCTCAGTACTTGTTAATTCCTGAAGATCAATCTGAACTTGAGTTTGGATCTCTTTTTCATCCACTGCTTTTTCAGTTACCTCCACCAACGCATGTACTGCAGGATCACAGTCAGCGAAGACCTCTACAGGCGCAACGTCCTCAGGAACACCTTCTGCTGCTTCTTGTTTCCCACAGATAGATGTTTCAGCGAATGTCTCTATTTCAGTCGAGGTGTGCATTTCCTGTCTTTCAGTCTCAGGTTCTTTTTCTTCGGCAGGAGCTTCTGTTATGGCCTCGGTTTCTACTTTCTCACTAGCAGCAGCCATCTTAGTGAGGGTAGTCTTCTCAGTGATGATGTGAGGCTCCTCACTGTCTACAGGTGCTGCAGCAGCTGTCTCCTCTGCAGCGTTTACCTCCACCTGAGCTGTTTCTTCTACTTCTTTTCGTGTCTGACACGGATGCCCGGCTTCAACAATGCTAGTTGTTTCTGATGGCAATTCCCTCTCATGTTCCTCGCTTTCCTTTGCTTTCTCTACTTTACTGTCCACCTGTTGAGTTTCAGGAAGTGGTTTTTCAGTGTGGCTCTCGGTAGGTTGGATCTGGTCTTCTTTTACCTCATGTTTCACCTCCTGGTCCTCCATCTGATCATCTCCAAGTTGAATATCCTGAATCAATTCCTCTGAAGCTTCTCTGACTGCCTGCTCTTCAGTCACAGCGGAGAGTTGTATTTCCTCTTCCTTTCCTGCCACTGCAACTATTTCTCCTTTCTCTTCAAATGTTGCTAATTGTAAATCTTCACTTTTATCTTCAACAACCTCCTGTGTCTGTTGTTCCTCTGTCTTGTCCTTCTCTTCCTCTTTGTCCACTCTTGTAAGACATCCTGTCATGTCAAACCTACTCTGCGACCATATCACCCTTCCCTCCTTCTGACCCTCCTTCTGACCCTCCTTCTGACCCTCCTCTGACTCTGGTTGAACCTCCACCGAGGGAATGTCATCCTTCAAAGTAAACTTCTCCAGGTACCCGTCCTCCTCTGAATCTGAAAAACGCCTCCTGTAGGTCTTCTCTGATGAAACGCTCTCTTCCTCAGAGTGTTCCTCGTCGCTCCTTGTCCTCTCGCCTACAGCATCCTCGTAAAGGTCAGAGTACATGAAGGACATGGCGGTGGGCTCATCCAACAGGATTTGGTCGATGATCTTAGGGGGTCCAGAGGAGATAAAAATGGGTGTGAGGATGGTGTCTTCACCCCCAAACAACACAGAGCCTTTCTCCTTCACAGATCTCTGTCTTTCTAGTCTCATTCCCATCCTACCCTCAGCCTCATCTTCATTGCTCCGCTGCAGCGCATCAGCAAGAGCTCCTTCTCCGTAAAAGACCTCATCCAGGTGTTCCCCAACTATATCCACATCTGTAACAAAGTCAAAGGAGTCCTCCGATGCAGACAGGCTGTCTGTGGCTGTCTCCTTTTGCTCCTCGACGTTGGGCTTTGCTGCAGGCTGTTCTTCCTCCTGCTGCTCTGGATCGTCTTCCTCAGGAACCGCCACATCAACCATGGTGAACGGCTCGAAGTAATCTATGTCCACTGTGCTCTCTTTCTGAGTGAGTGCATGTCTGTGCTCTGTGTCCTCTGACAGCTGAGAAGAGTCTTGCTTTGAGTGCTGAGAAAAGATCACAGTCAGTAAGTTCATCTATAGAGGACAATTCATTGTTTTAAACAGTATTTTATGATTGAATTTGACTTGAATAGCAGAGAAAGGCAATCAAAAACGAAATGCATGTTAGTGCTGGATTGAGATACCTAATAATAAAACAAATCAACTCATACCTCATGGGGATCCAGTACTTCCCCCTCCTCCTGCAGGGCTGGATTCTGTGTCCAGTCATGGTTGTTTCGGGACCTGATCATTGGTGTCTGGTCCAAATAGGACAAATTGTCCTTCAACTCTGTGCTCTCTTCCTCATCCACAGTGGGAAGTTTGGAGGGGACTCTGATGTTGAGAATCTCGTAACCCTCTGAAATCAAACTAAACAGCTGCTGATCTTTGTTTTTGATTTCGTCCAAGTCGGGCTCTGTTTCGCTTTTCTCCTTTTTGACGTTAGGAAGAGAAACCCCCGCCATCTCAGGTCGCTCCACTCCCAGGACTGAAGCCGACCTTGAACTACCAGGTCGGCTCAGCCTGTCTCCCAGCCGGCTCCTTCCTCCGGACCTCGTCCTCCTGCGGATTACTTTCTCCTCATCAAAGACGATGGTGATCTTTCCCGCGGCTCCAGGCCCCTCCATGCTGTAGGCTTCAGAGGTGGAGCTGGTCTCAGAGGCCCATGGCGTAGAGCAGCGGCTAGAGGCCGTCTCCCAAACAATACCGCTGTCCTCGCTCTGAACGGTCACCATAGAGAACGATTGATCCACCATCAGGCACTGGAGTTGTGGCTTCACAGACTGGTCCTGGACAGCCTCTCGCAGACTAGAAGTCAGAGAAATGTATAGAGTTAGAGAAAGAGTGCAAGGTGTTTGTGCAGGAAGAGGAAGGGAATGAGTAAACAGTATGCAAGAGGAGATCCTGTTGCCACAGCTTTTGAAACCCAAGCTGAGGACAAACCAATGAATCATAGCAAAACATATTTGTACAAGATGTGCCAGCATGGAAACAACCAACACCAATTCAGTTTTTGCATCTGAGGCAACTAAACTGAAAACGCATTAACACCCACTAACCCTTAAAATGTTGACTTGAGAAGTGTAGATCTCCGGGATTAAAACCATGTGCTGGGTGCAAGGCTGCCAGATGTGAGCGACGTGCTGAACAAAAATGATCAGATGTGCTCTGAGCTGTTGCTCCTGCTATCAATACAGCTCAGCCCCTGCAGGGTTACAGAAAGGTGACGTCCCAAAGCGTCATTTCTGTAATATTAGAGACGAGATGCCTGGCCTTCCCAAATACATCCAACATATCAGTGTCCTCCACTATTTATTTCACTACAAACTAGAGCAGCCAGTATGAAACATGATAAATGATATGTAAAATATGGGACGGTGAATCATATCAAATGATAGAATAGAGCTGTTTGCAATGCCAGACAGCTCCCTGTATGAGCCGAGGAACAGATGATATTTTAATGTTAGATGAAATGACATGAGTGCTGCCTTGTTTTACTTTGATACGCTCTTCAGACTGACACATTTTTTGGAGCTAAGAAGCCCAGAAACAAGTGGTTTCTTATAGGCTTTATTCCATATGTTTGATAGGATCTCTCAGCAAAAAAGACACCAGTTCACACTAAGACAGGGTTGCCAACTCTCACGCATCTGGCCTGTGGCACACGCTTTCACTCTCAATCTCACGCTCTCACGCTGCCCAAACTATTCTCACGCCAAAAACAAGAATACCGAAGACAAGAAACGGTTTTGAGTCAAATGAGTCACTGTGTCCCCCCAACGCAGGGTGGGCAAGCCTTACCACTTTGCCGTTTTTTTGCACGAGCGCATGTTGTGAGTGCGCGAGCGGTAACGTGGAATGTTGTTGTTAACATCTGGTTAGCTGGCTATGCTAACGGATATAAAGAGCTGTTTCTACACCAAGGTGGAGGAGAGTCCTCTCCTGTCAGACTGAGAGGATCGTATAACCTCAGCTCAGTGAGGTAAGGACTCTCTCAGTGTTTAGATAGTTAACTTTAGTGTAAGTTATCTCAGTGGGTCTCAAACGGTTTGGTCACCATTTATGTAAACAAGTAGTTGCGAGGAACACCTTTATATGATCATTATAGTTATTAAAAAATAAGAGAATAAATGAAAAACGGGTATGAAATACTATAGGACAGTAACACAAGAATACAGTTTAAAGGGGGAGTGATTTGTAAAATATCCATAAAGAAAAAGTAAATCTGTTTACAGTTCTGTTTCAAATGAGTGTTGAGAGATGTATCCATAGATCTCTTAATTTTGCTCTCAAAGTGCACCAGATTGATGCTTTTAACTTCAATATTTAAAAAATAATCTTCCCGGGGGAGCAAGCCCCCAGACCCTCCTAGAGGAGGTTAGGTCCACCCCCACCTAAAACATGTTCACATGGATAGGATACTAAATACATTTGCACACTTTTTATATGGTGGCCTATGTCCATATGTTTCTGTTTTGGTGGTCGTGCCACAACCGTGCATGTATGCACAAGTTGTTAGGGAAATAATTGTCCTAGACTCCTAGATATGACGTGCATGACCAACCCTGACGTCTGTTATCTCCTTTAAGGAGATAGGCTGCTTCAGCCATAATGTTGTTGTTCCCATTCTATGACCGGGCAACCCTAGGTCACAGATGGTTTATTGTTGTGGGTACACTGGAACACTTCCTTCTCTGTGTTTGTGGACTCCAAGGTGTGAAATATTCGAGGCCATAAGTGTCAGACGCAAGTAACTCAGTGTTCCCAACTGTTTAGGCTATCTTCTCAAATATGTTGATTACTCTCTGCGAAACCAGTTAAATGGGCTGATGAGAGAGAGGCGCTCCAGAATTGACGTGGCAACTCTCCCGTGCAGTCAGAACCTCTGGCTCTTGGACTTGTGATGTGAATTCTCCGGCCGAAGCTCCAAATAAACCATCAGTGTTTGATATCAAAGCTCCTGCTCTTCCCGTGTCTCCTTCATGAGTCGGTGACTCCCACTGCATTGCTACAGGGGCGGTTCTAGAGGGGGGCCAGGGGGGGGCAGTGCCCCCGAACACTGACCTCTGACCCCCCTGTGGCCCCCCTAACAATGAAAAGTTTTTTTTTGTTTTTTTTAAATGTATATTTTCTGGTACTCGGTTTGCTAAAAACCGCAGGATTTTGTTGCTGTAATGTGAGATTGTGCAGACACCCTTATGTAAAGTAGAGATGTAACTGTTCATTGCCTTTATTTTTATATAAATATGGTGTTAGTGCAAACATTGCACTATAACTTAAACTGAAGCTAACAGTAATAACTATAAGATCTATCTGAAATAAATAAGTGTACTGAAACAAATACCAATAACTGTATTGCATTGTTTTCTTATGCGCAATTACTTCATAGTACTGTCTAGTTCTCATTTTCGTCCTGCATTTATTGTGCCCCCCTCAGAAAATAACTGGCCCCCCCAGTGGCCCCCCCAGTCAAATTGGTCTAGAACTGCCACTGCATTGCTACACAGAAGTTTCCCCCACACAAGTCATGGTGCGCTATAAAATAGCACTACACCCCTGTGTGTGAAAGACAATAGACTTTACAGCATGTTTTTTTTAATTGAAGTTGCGTTGGTGTTTGTGTGTTGGTTGTTGACGGCAGTGTGTGCCCCCCCCTTGGTAAATGATTGCCCCCCCCATTCGATTTGTTCTAGAGCCGACCCTGGATACAACATTACGTGTTGATAGAAATCAACACGTAATGAAATAAGACCCCATGGTTTGATGATTGATAGGTGTGTTGGCTGTCTTTCATTTTGACACACAGAACAATGGGGGATATCCACCCTTATGGATAAGGGTAGAGGAGGGAAGAGGCTGTGTGAATGACTTTACATTGTGGATCCACAATGTAAAGTAATTCACAGCCTCTTCCCTCTTCCCTCTGTGAGGAGCAGCAGGTTCAGCTTTCAGAACAATGTAACACAAAACTAAAATGGCATTAATTTTTTAAATATGTCGTGTAGTATTACATTTATTTATTTTCTTCTGAAGAGAGTACCAGAATGTGTATTTTATGTTAGTATTTCAAAAAATCTCCTGGGGGAAAATCCCCCAGACCCCCTTGCAGGGGTTGGGTTTTCAGCATGTCAACTCTTTCACCTGTGGAGAAATTGCAGGATTGGCTCCAGGTCGCCCTTTTTATTTACTTCAAGACAAATGTGCATTTTTATTTCATACAGTTCAATTTGGATTGAGACAGGGAAATAATCTAACCCTCACGCGTGGCGTTTCACTGTCAAGGGGAGCGTGTATGTAATTACATTGCAAATACTGACTTGAGCCCCACCACTGTATGGGTTAGCCCTACCATAGATTACCCAACAAAAATACTCTGGAGCCGCAACTGCCGACCCGTATTGCGCATGCGCAGATCTAAGATCCAGAAGAAATGATTAAAAAGTAAAAGTCTGCTGCTTATTGTTCTACTAGGCCAAAATACAGTCAAAGAGTAGCCTATATGAGAGTGAGAGTGTGTTAATTAATATATTTGGCAGTTTGGAGTATGTCTGTAGATGTGTTTGTGTGTGTGTGTGTTTCTCTCACGATAATTAATTTAGTTGGATACATTTTCCCGGAAATTATTGCGATAAACGATAATATTGTCGTCACCGTTGTATGACCATTTTAGACCACTGACATGATGATAATATATAATAATAATTCAAGTACATCCTTTCAAACGGCTAGTCACATCCTCATATAAATGGCAATTTATCGAGTTCATTTTTATTTATCGTACGATAAGTCAATTAATTGCTTATCGCGACAGGCACACAATAAAACAGTGGAAACAAACATGTGTTTGACTTTCATTAGTGAATGAAACTGTGTGCCCTTTATAGTCTGTGTCCAATATTGTGTATTTGTATTATATTGCTGCTGCCGCTGCTGCCGCTGCTGACACGATAGCAGTCATTTCGTGCGCATATGTGTAATTAAACCCATGATATCAAAATCTCACTCCAGCCAGGTACCCAAAGTTGGCAACCCTGCACTAAGATAAAGTGAGTGACAATTGTGGTATTTCAGCTTGTAAGATGTGTAAAGCACCTGTTCCGCAGTTCCTCCTCCTCGTCTTCATCGTCCTGGCTGAGGGCCTCCGAAGCTTCGCTCTGAACCTCCTGCAGCTCGGTCATCTCCGAGTCCAGACTCTCACACTCCTCCATCTTGGTAATATCCTCCAGCTCTTCCCTTTGTAGCCCCCACGGGTTTTTCAGTGAATTTCAGAGTCTCCTTGGAGTTTTCAGCCACCCTGATTTCGGAGGAGTTGGTCTGCCTGTTTGTGTCATTCTAAGTTGAGAGCAGTCCATCTGACTCAGCCACGGACAAAAATAGGCTGAGAGAGGAACGAGAAGAGGGGTGTGGAGCTGGAGAGGGGAGCAGCGAGAGAGGGTGGGTCTCACTGGGTCTGGGAGTTTGTTGTTAGTGAAATTAACAAAAGAAGTTAGGTGACGAAGTTGCCGTGAAAAGATTATTATGCATTTGGGGAAATCCTCAGTATTTTGGTCAGTGCAAGATGAATTAGCCAGTGGGACTTTAAGAACAAAATCCCCTCGCTGAGTTAAATATAGGCCGTGTGCTGAAACAGTACCCCCTGGTCCCCCTGCTGCCGGTGGCATCGCTAAACAGAGACGCACACACAAACTGACACACATGCATGCATCGGGTGAGTTATCTACCCCCTACCAGCGCTGACACTATACAAAAACCATAAAACAAGTCTAATAAGGTGTCAAACCACACAACAAAAACGAACTTGTGCACGAGCTGCCAGAGGAGGCGTCAGAGAGCCTTTTAACTTAGAATGTGGATATTCAGGAGCCAAGAATCAGCACATAAAACATCATCCTAAATGCCTTCAGAATGATGGTCTAGTCGGCATTACCTCGAGGAAACAAAATTACATGAAATATCAGGTGAACTGTTTTTTATTGTGCTTATGGTTAATATATGTTTCAGGTTAAAGGGGCCCTATTCTGCTCATTTTCAGGTTCGTATTTGTATTTTGTTCCTCTACTTTGAGATGTTTACATGCTTTAATGTTCAAAAAGTGCTTTATTTTTCTCATACTGCCTGTGCTGCAGCACAGCTGGCCCTGTCAATTGCTTAGAGATGCCCCGCCCCTTATTCTATCACACAAGGTGTTGGAGTGCTAGCCAATAGAAGTGTGAGTGTTACGTAGTGATGTCACTGTCTCAGAAATAAACAAAGGAGCCTAATAAAGACTTTGGGAGAGAACCTCCCTCTTTCGTTATCTTTGGGATTTTAGTCTTTGACATGCACAAAAACCTTTATAACGCACTACAGGAAAGGGAAACCCCCAAAAATCACAAAAGGGCCCCTTTAAACATCGTTTCTGTGAATAAAATCTCTAATCCTGATTCTTATTTCCAAGGTGATCAAATATAATTATGTACTATTTATTTTTGAACTTCTATCAGTTCCAACTTGTTTGTAGCAAATAATTCAACGTGCTTAACATCAAGCTCAAAAATATGAAATAGACACTCGTCATCCTCAGATATTTCATTTTTTTAATAAACATTTAAAAGTTCAGCTTTGAACAAAATGTACAAAAAGAGAAAATATAATCTGGAGAAGAAAAAAAAGTCACGTCAAAGTGTAGATTCTTTAAATAACTTATGCATTGAATGAACAGAATAATGAATGAATAGCATGAATTTATGTCCAAATAAATCAAGTAGATGAACTCAAATGACACAGCATGTCTATCAAGGGAAATGAATACAGCTCATCAGGAGCAATGATGAAGAAGTGTCAACATCCAGAGTGTGGCCCCCCGCAGCCCTCTAGTGATTCCCAGAGTCACTTATAATATAACACTAACTTAAACAAGCTAATTTTAGCAACTTAAAGATGATGAATTATGGAAAAAGACGAGGATAGATGTAGAAAACAATGTCTATGGATGTTTAAACCCACGATAGCTTCACCACTGACCTAGAAAAATAGAACGAAAGGTTCTGATATTACAAGTTGGTCCATACCGGCAGTAGACTACATACTGTACATATGATGCAAAAGCAAATGATTGGCACCTTCTTTAAAACTATGGCTCTAACAATGTGGATACAAATGTAACTGAGATGAACCTGGTCCAGAACAGTCGAAACAAAACGTTGCCGCATCCATTTAATAAAACTTCAGATCCTAACAGATTGCAGGAAGTATTTTCATCCTTTTTCTATATTCCTAACTACTTTCCAGTAATGCCAATCGAGTTGGTAAAGAGTGTTATGTAGCAGCTATAACCATCCTTAATAACACTGACCATTATTATCCTGCTTCAGTGCAGAGCCCTCTGCTGTCACTTCAGAAATATTATATTTTTACATTTAGTTTCAATTATTTGAAGTTATAGAAGCATTTGAAAGTGAGCCCAGTATTTCCAAGTACAAGTACTGCCACTGGAAACACCCTATGATGTGGTTAACCCATATCAAGGCAGCGAGAGCATTCAGAGACTTTTTTTTCCTGGCTGTGAGCACATCCAAATGGGTTTCTCTTTCCGGGGACGGGCCTCTCTTGAGGTAGAAGACTCCTGTCCGCTCGTCTAATGAGAGGAACCCCTTATCTCCTGGAGGATTCCTTATTAATGATTTCTCTGACTGGGAGGATGGAGTTCAGGTCCTGCACGTCCTCTAGTATCCGGTATGACTGCGCAGACACACAGATGAGAAGCAGAGGATTATGAATAACTCATGGCTGGCCCTTAGAGTAAAGAGGAGAAAATACAGCGTAGTTCTTAGGACTGACCACAGCAAACTCCGCTTTGATGGCGTCAAACTTGATCTTCTCATGGACTGCCCTGGCCACGTTGTTCCTTTCAAACGGCTCTGCAATACAAAACATTGCTGTGACCAGGTTCAGGTTATTTATTTGTACCCGTAGGTAGATTTTGTTTGCAGAGAAAAAGACAAGGGGTCCATCCTGACACTAAGAACAAACACAAACAACAGACACATCTCTAATAAAAGGACTAGTAAAAAGCTCAAGAATACCCTGCTCAACCAAATCTCAAAATATTTCAGAAACATTTTAAGAAGGAAAACACTAGTACAAACATGGACATTCAAAATTCATAATTAAATAAATAAATAAAAATAGGCATCTGCGTGATACTCCTATGATGTGTTAATTTGCGCAATAGCTGCTGGGATAAAACAGTACACTGGACATGTAGCATTTAGGCTCATGTTTTAGACACATGGTGGTGCAAATGTTTACCTTCCACACAAATGAATTTGTTTCTCCATGTCGGAGAGTTGTTCTTGGGAAAAGCTTTGGCCTCTCGAACAGAGATCACCTTCCTATCCCAACTGCAAGACAATGCAAAAGTAGGGGAATTATTTAATTGTTATTATAATTAAAATGACACAATGAAAAAGGTCCTCAATGACCTCAAGTTGAGCTAATCAGCTGCAAAATATGCAAACTTTCCTGCCAACTAACAAGGGGATAGATCTGTACCTCAGGCTCAGTTGGTTTTACTTTCATTCAATGCAGTCAATGCAACGAACAAATGAAACCTCGCCTAGCAAAGATCATTTGAACATAAAACATTCCTATTTCTATCAAAGATAGGAAATTGTCATGTGGGTTCGGCAAAGTAAATCTTTAAAACGAATACAATTAATCCTAGTCCTGAGTCGAAATATTGTGTGTCTTGTCCTCATATTATCTGTCATTTAACTTAAGTTTTAAATGTCGAAGCTTCACTTAATGCATCAGATGAAAGGTACAAACACAGTTCGTTTTTCTGCAAACATCAAATGAAGAGATTTCCGTTACTGCAAATGAAACTTGATGATTAATAAGTACAGAATGTGGAGTTGGTTTGGAATGAATGGCTGTCAAGAAACGTAGGAATATGTGTTGATCCCTGTAAAAACTTGCAGTAACATAAAGCACATACAATTTGTAAATCAAACCTGTTTGTTAGTGAAATAAAAAAATCAGTGGGTTTTTGTGAGTTTTAGTTCAGCCTTGTGACTGGAGCGTGACCAAGTTAACCAGAACTTCCCAAAAAGTTTGCCTAATTTTAAGGTTTTCGTATTTTTTAAAGTTTTTTTAACCTAACATTTTATATTATATATTATTTTGTGTCACTTCCACTTAATTCCCCATCTTAAATACTCCTGGATAGTGCAACCCTATGCGTGTTACGGTAACACATATATCGCAAACACAGGGATCATGGTATGTCATGTTAGTGCTGTGTAAGGCCAGAGGTCCCACCTGCTCCTGCCCCTCACCCAGAAACATGAAACCAGGGAAGAGGATGCAGGATAGAGGAGCAAGAGAAGAGATGGGGGACTGGAGAGGTGGGAGAAGTTAGCAAGAAGACAGGAGATAAGGAAAGGGAGCAAGAAAAGGAGGAGGCCAAAGAACCATGGTATGGGTGAATGTGAAACACTAGACTCAGAAATGTGGTGTCTACCTGAAGACCGTGGCATAGTATCCGAGAAAGCCCAGAAGAAGCTCTCCCAGAGAGGACTGGTTGCTCGATATGTAGGGAGGGACGTTTTTGGGCCCCTCTGGGACCATGTCAATGTCCATGAGGGGGAAAAAACAGTCCTGAAAATCAAGGCACGGGACAAAAGACTTCAAACCAAGCACATAATGTGATTTATTTGTGATGAGTACAGAAAAGTCAATATGATGCAGAAATGTCTTCTTTTTAAAAGTGATACGAATTGTAAGGCGTGTGCGCAAGGTGTTGAACGTTTTGTATTTTCTATAATTTGCCAATATAACATACTAGTTTGCACTTCTGGTAATGAACCCGGAATACACTGGTTACAATAAGTTACAATGAATTGCAAAAACAATGGAAGACACTTACGGGGTAGTCCATCTGTAGAGAGGGAAGGACAGGTTCATTGAGAGCTGTAGAAAAAGCAACAAGATAAGTTTCACATTAAGTAATAAATGGAAACAGAAAGGTCTTGTGTGTGAGTGTACTGACTCTGGAGGTAGTGCAGCACCAACAGCACGAGTGTGTAGCTGCTCAACGTTCCTTTGCTGGCATCATTGATATGATTATGTTGGGCCCATTTCTTGACAACGAGGATCAGGGGTCTTATCCTGAGATCAGCTGAGAGACATCACACACAGGCAGCGGGTCAAAACAAGAAGCATTAAAAGCGCTGCTTGGGAAGGACAGTTGGAGCAGACTTAGAATTCGGCAGGAATTTAAAAAGATCTCACCCACCAAAGGCATAACTCCTCAGAAGGAATGTGTTTCTGATGCCCACTGTGTTGTTGAAATTCAGATCAAACTCCAGATCACTAAAGAGGGAAGGAGTCCTTTTAACAATGCTTTCTGGCTTTGCTAAGGTAAAAGAATAGTTATACAAAAGAAAAAGAGGTTTAATATCTGTTTTGTTCCTACCTGCCTCTCTCTCTGAACCTGAGGATCGGCACTTTGGCTCTGATCAGCTGAGTCCTCTCCACATATGCTATCAATCAAAATAAACATCATGACAGTTATGGTTGTTTTGGTTTCATTTCATGTTCACTTGAAACTCTCTCTCCAAAAGGATAAGTAGCTCCACCTGGTGGACTATGTGGAAAACATAAGTATGTCAACATAATCACAATATGTTCTACATTTTGTATTTATTCATTATGACTCACGTAGTGACTTGAACAACCTTTGGAGGACACTGAGTACGCTAATAGGATCGAGTTTTTTCTATAAAAAAGGAAAGGTGTTTAAAAGGAAGTGGGTATCTCTGATTGTACAAACACATTCTGGATGACAAACATCGTATAGAGTCAAAGCAACTCACATTTCCTTTGATGATCAGACACATATCAGCATCACTGCTCCTGCAGCCCAATCCATTCATAGAGGATCCAGTCAGGTAAAGCCGTGCCACTGTGAGAAACACACTGAGTGAAAAGGAACCACGACAGGAAGTCTGGGCATGATTGTGGATTTCATACACACCTGGATATTGACCCTGTATGTCGTCCTGCAGCCGAGTTCGGCACAACTCCTTCCGGTCCAAATCCGAAGCTTGCTGCTGGCACGCCTCGAACATCTCCACCATCTGACAGCTCAACTGAGGACACAAACACATGCACACTAAGAACTAAGCATTGCTCAGATGTGATGTAAACTGCAGGTTAATGCCATTTGAATATACAATACCTCATCCCTGGCATAGGCCTGCAGGCTGTTGAAGTTCTCAGGGACATCTACCCCCTGAGGATGGATGAGGGCAGGTGGACTTTGACCAACGAAAGGAGGTCTCGATGACCCTGCCACCGCCCGGTCAGGACGACGGGGGGGAGGGGTTCGAGGTAGAGGAGAGGCTAAGGATGGGTGGGGATGGGACTCAATGCGTTGGCGCTTTACAACATTGGGGCTGTATTCGCTATTCTGCCTCCTGGAAGAAACACAAAAGGAAGGTTTAAGAAATAATAAAAGGAAACACGGATTGTCCAACCATGATTAAATAGTAAAATGACATACTTGCGACTGTTGGTCATGTTTGGTGCGTAGGGATGATGGACTGGATGAGGGGCTGGAGGAAGTGGCCTCTCTTTCCATTCATATGGTGGAAACCTCTGTGGTCCAGGACCATGGAAGCTACCAGAAAGACATGTTCACAAATACATAAGCAAATAAGTAACCCAAACTCAGAGGTGGGAGAAGTACTCAGATCTTGTACTTGTGTACAAGTACCAGTGTGGGAATACTCTGTTTCAAGGTAAAAGTCCTGCATCAAAACAATACGCAAAAGGACAAAAGTATTAGCATCAAAATATACTTAAAAGTACCAAAAGTAAAAGTACTCATAATGCAGATTGGCACATTTCAGAACAATATATGTATATGTATGATATGATGATGTATATGATATGTTCTGATTATAATTATTGACGCATTAAAGTGTTATCAGTGTTGGTAAAGGTGCAGCTAGTTTTAATGACTTTGTATGCTGCAGAGTAGATTGTTAATTTACTCAAGGTGTAACTAAAGTCTTATTTAAGAGTTGATTATATTTCACATTATTAATCAAAATCTGTAAACTAACTACATGTACGAAATACAGCTCTGAAAATAATTAAGAGACCACACGCATTTTTCTTAAATCTCGATCTCTACATGTATGACAGCCATAACATGTATAACATGTTAGTGTCTGTTGAATTCCAACACAGAGAAATGTAGTCAGTAGTTTATAGAATAAATTAAAAAAAAACATGAACTTTACTCAAACACATACCTATAGTCACTCACATGTGTACAGTACTTGAGTAAATGTACTTGAACATTCACGACTATTTCAGTGATGTTGTTGATGTTGTTGATGTCTAACAGATCAGAGCAGTGAGTATTTAGCCAGGCTTACTTGACAGCAGCCCGGCTCCCGTGGTTGTAATTGTAGGTTTGGGGGCCCGGGGGAGGGTACGGGCCGTGACGGAAGGCAGACAGGTCCCTCGGTAAGGCGCTGCGGGGGAACATGCTGTAGGATCTTCACTGAGCTCCAGCATCAACTCCAAAGACCTCCTGAAAGAAAGAAAATAACTGAGCCACAACACGGCTGGTAGTGTCCACAATTAATGGAGAACTGTGGCTACCACCGATACGGAACACATAACCGAAACGTAATGTCAAAACAAGTATTCTGAGGAAATCGAAACTAGTGATCAGTCAAAAATGGTGAGCTAACTGACGCTAGCACCGCCCAGCTAGCTAATCCAAAAACGGTAACAACTATTATCTCTTAATTAAATCGGAGTATGTATAGGTTGGTGTGAAGACTATGTTTATAGAGACGTGTAACAAAATGTTAAGCACATTTTACTCCAAAAACTAACTGTAACACTTACCAAATGCATGTCACATGTAAACAAAACTGAATGTCTTTCCTACACACTTCCGCATTGATGCCATGACGTAATGGATTTCGATTTAAAGGGCCAGTGGCCATAACAGTTACATTAAAAGGTAAGGCTTATTTGATGTTGAGTTAAAGACAGTGTAAACAAATAAGCCTACTTACTACTTGAGTGTTTCCATTGTATACTACTTTATAATTTTACTCCACTATATTTTGAAAGCAAATATTGAACTTTTTATTCCACTACCTATATCTGACATCTTTAAGAAATAGTTACTTTTCACATTAAGATTATGAGCTAAAACAAATATGTAATACATCTCAGTATTTTTGTAAATAAACACTGACATGTATAGGTTAATAAGTTATTAAAATGTGCTCCCCTTTACAAGCTGTGAAAGACACATGAATGCCTCAATAATAATAATTCAGTAATGCAATATAGTTGATTAGGAAATGGGCCATAACCCTTAACAAGTACTTTTACTTTTAAGTTCGTTTTGATGCCAAGATTCTTTGTTTTTTGAATGCAGGATTTTTACTTGTAACAAAGGATATTTACTTGTAACAGAGTTTTATTTTTTTACAATTTGTATTGTTACTTTGACTCCAAAAAATAAACTACCACGACTGGCTGTGGTCAGGTTGGGCATGATCTATTTTCTGTGCTGCAGCTTAAGGGTGGTTCCCAGCCTTTTCCCTTAAGGGACCCCTTCACAATCAATGACTAAACTGATGATACCTGACTAACGTTAAGTAACATATTTTATCAATAACTGCGGAAGGTTTGTGTAAAATTAGCAATATGGATACATTTTCAGCGGATAGTTTCCTCTCAACAGGGCATCAGAGATCAGTTGTCTTAATATTATTTAGGAACTGTTCATTACAATTCTCTGTCTGCATTAGATCTTCTACCTAATGACTGGCCATTATAATAATTGCCTTTTTATTGTTCAAATTGCATACTTTCTTTACACAGGTAGAGGCTGTTTAGAAAAAGGCTCTGTGTGTTCAGAGTCACACCTGAATACAATATGTCTTTATCCTGTAAGATTACAAAAATAGGTAATGATGCAATGTATGGTTTCTATTTTAGGGTGTGTTTTTGCTTTTCATGGTTTAGATGTTTCATCAATGATAACATAAAGATAAGAGCGATGAGAAGACGACTGACATTAATGTTACGAGCACTTAATCTGCACATTTAACAAATTATTGACGTTTTTTGGTCTTCTCTTACTTTGTCTAGCAGCATCCCATACATTTGTAATGGAGGAAATCTATAGTTTACCACAGTGTATATATTATAATATGAAAAATAAATCATATCAGATCCCAACAATGTTTACAGTTCATACACAATAGTGCATGCATAATTCAGTCATTTTAAAGCAATATCCAGATTAGCAATTTGATTTATCTTTTGTTTAGAGGATGCCAACAACAATTGATTTATTGATAAACAATCCCAAGCCTTAAAATGGACTGGGTTCTTTAATATATTAACACGGAGCCTTTCAGCAAATTAGATATTTTAATTCGATACTTTATGTGCTTTTATTTAGCTAATAATACTTCTGTATTTAAGTAGCAATTTGGAAGAAGGACCTTTTTGTTTTTTTAATAACTTTTATCAGAATCAGAATTCCTTTATTTGTCCTGCAACAGGAAAATGAAGGGTATTACAACAGCAGGGACGTGCACAGGTACGGGCTAATGTTGCCCGGGCAACGGCCCTTTTGAACTTTTTGGCTGACCTGCCCCTCTGGAGAGAGCGAAAGTCTTTTTTTTCTGCCGAATAAACATGATAAGCCCACAATTAGTATTGTAGAGTCTCGCTGCGATAAAACACACCTTGTCAGCGCTGTCATCTGCCCCCAGTCACGTGACTTTGTTTACAATCTGACAGCTGAAAAGCAAAGGAAAGCCCTCCGAGTCCGACCTCATATGGCTATGGTGATCATGTGCCTGCCTGGCTTTGGTGGCCAATCCTCGGGTCAATCTGTCCCCAGAAATGTCCCTGTTTTTAAATATGCTTTTATTGATTTTGAGTTTTCTCATGGCAGTTAGAGTATATGGGACAAACCAGGGGACTTTACTTCCTCTTGACACCGTCAGTTATTTACAAAAAAAACACTGCTCCGTAAACTCCCTCACCGCTCTCTCTCTTTTCTTGATCGCCCTCTCTCACATACGGGAGAACACTTCACTGCCCCGCTTCATTTAGGATTTCTGCCATGTCTCAATTTAAGTTTGACCATCTCTGTTATTAAGTTATGGAATAGGCCTACTAAATAAATAAGTAATTAGATACCTTACCGTTACTGTGCTCATAAAGAATGATAAGAATAAGAATACATTTTTTAAAAAACCTCTTACGTTTTTGGGGGGGTGGGGGGAGGCCCTTTTTCTAGTTTAGAGCAATAGCCCCTCCAAATGTCTGTGCACGTCCCTGTACAACAGCAAGAGTGCAGATTCATTAAAAAGAGTATACTTACATTATGATATAAAAAAGGAGTCACATATTATTATTAATAATAAAAAACACAATAAGCAAAAAACAAATAACACGTACATGGTGCTCCATGGTCAAATTAAAAAAAAATAAGTAGCAGTAGTTACAACAAATTACCATATCAAAATATATAGCCTATATAGGCCTATTGCACAGCATTTTATTTTATAGATTATATATTGTTCTGCTTTTAGTAAAAAGACCTGAATCTTCCACACTGCATATACAGCCAGAGAGTAACATTTTTCTTAGAGTATTTGGTGAGTAGGCCACTTCCTACTAAACTTTTTATAAAACAATAACGCGTAAAATGGCATCAGTCCCTCGAGCATCGAGTGACGTCACTGCGGAGGACAGTGTCGTGACGTAGGCAGTTCAATACTGACAGTGATCTGAGTGGGAGGGAAGCGGGGACTCATCAGCCAGATGTGGAGCGGTTTTGGGGGCGGGGTACACATCGGGGTGTGCGGATAGGCTTAGATCAATAAATCACTCTTACAGCCAAACGGAAGGATAGTTAATTCTATGCAAACGACTCTCCACATATCAGTATTGACCAGGAGCGCTGTTAATCAGTTAAAAATAAAATCGATGTTGCATAAGCAAAATATATACTGCAGGTTTAGAGAAAAATCGGAAATTGGCTTTATTCTAGAAATGCACTGGTAAGGGTGTGAAATAGTCTGGATGAGAGAGCGGGGGTGTGAGCCTATGGTAATTAGAGAGAGAGAGAGAGAGAGATAGAGGGAGGCGGGTGGACGGTGGGATGCTGTGCGTTATCTAGTGGCTAAATGAGGGTTGTCTTTCCCAGTTCAGGCAGCAAGGCTTCTCCACCCTTCCAGCGAGGATCTGTAATTTACGCGACAATTATCTCGGATCTCCATAAAGGACTCTGCGCTGGATCAGCTGCTCCATCACCAAGCACTCAGCGCCAAAGCAGGAGTAGAAGGTCTGACTTCCGTGCCATGTGCAGAGCGACATGTATGTGTGATTTCATGCCGTGACAGCGCAGGGGAATGGACCAGTTGTCATCAAATTCCTGCAGACGCACCGACGGTGATACATTGAAGCCTGTCGTGTAGAGAGAAGACTTTGATACGCAGCGGCCAATCCGAGATATATACGTTTTTATTGCCAGAGAGAACACATATATCGCTGCAATGTCGACCATAACAATGGGGTAAGTGTGATTATTATCCAGTGGGTTGACTGAGACCCCCTTTCGCTCCTTTCTGCATTCATATCAGCTACGGCTGCTTCACAGGGTATGAACTTCTCTATTAGAAACCACACCACATAACACAATAATGACCCGGGCGTGTGCTTTAAAATGTATCTCTGTGTCTTACATGACGTTGTATAGCCTAAATAGCTCAGGTAGGCTGTGCATGTGTGGTTGAGTAGGTTATATTTGCAGGGCCTTGATATGCTGCACACTAAAACAATATATTTTCAGTCATTTAATGAAGGATATTTATTTTCTCTCTCCTTTGAATATGCTCTGTTTAGTGAAACAGAAATATGCGTTGGGCCCAACATGCTGTCACTCATATACTGGTGCATAAGTGGCTCCATCATCAAACTTTTAGGATCAAAATATAGTGGGTAAATCTGCAATTATTCCCAAAGTAGAAGTGATTGGGTGTTCTCACAGACATGAAGCAAGGCTTTAATTCACTCTTATTGCACAAGAACAATGAGAGTGAATACAGGTTTTTTTTCTAGGTGTCTGTTCTGCTGTTAACTCCCCACCTACATTACAGACAGTTATGTAATACTGAAAGAAGGCATGTATAACAACAGCATTTCTTCTCCAATATTCTCAGAGATCTGTGGTGTGATGTACATCCTGTTCCGGGTCTTGCTAAAAAAAAGGTCTGGGAACATTATAATATCAGAAGCAGGGGAATGTCAGTGTGCTTCACAAGGCTCCAGTGACAGAAAGTGGCTTCCTGTCTCTATGGCAGCACAGTGACCGCCACCTTACACATCCTCAACACCATGGCACCCATCGGTGAAATATCCGCCTAGTGCGCAGCGCCGCTCATTTGCATGTCCCCTAACCCTGAGCTCAGCGGTTCATTTCCCCACACCAAGCCTGTCGTTCATTAACAGCTGTCTCCTGCAGTTCATTGTGATTAATTGCACGGCAGGAGGTTAACAATATGGCACAAGCATGGTGCGATTTCAAGGCATCAGCCAAAACTTCTGCATTAACTATTTACAATACACTAGAGGCTTCCCAGGCTCCCACTCTGCCCTCCTACAGTGTGGGCAGCACATCATTCAGCAGTCTCCCACTCAGCTGCAGCTCTCCACTGGGCTCTGCCATACTGGTGACTAAGTTACTGTTATGCAACTGACCCAATGACTCAATTGATCAGCAGTGGAATACATTGTAATCCAGAGCACTATGCTGCATGCAGTGTGCGTTAAAGTCTGAATACCACAGATGAGATGTAACCGTTCACAGTTACAGATATGTTGTCTGGCTGCCAATCTGGTGGTAATGGCACACACAGATAGAGTCATATTTCACTTCCGGCCTCATGGCTGAACACCAAGCCACTTACAGCTCTAATGGTAATGGCACAGAGAAGAACATTAGAGTTGGACGAGAACTGGAGATGCTTATCAACACTCTCTGATGTGCTTTCACTTCATTGGGCAAATACAATTAATGCACTGACGGACTGAGTTTCTCTGCCTGTCTTTGCCTGTTTGTGTGGGTGTGCGTGTGTGTATGAAAGAGAGAGAGTGTGTGTTCATAGGCACAACTCAGGTCATCGAAGCCGCTCCCAGTAGATATAGCAACAGGGAGCTCTCTCATTAATGATCTCTCTCTACCTTAAATAAGATCTACTTGCCTCCAAGCGCTACTCAGTTGAATGAATGAAGAAATCTGGAAATAAGGACAATTTCTTCAGAGACGGGGATGAACATAGAGCTGGCAAGGGAAAGCAAAATCTCCTGGGATGAACCTGTGTGTGTGTGTGTGTGTGTGTGTGTGTGTGTGTGTGTGTGTGTGTGTGTGTGTGTGTGTGTGTGTGTGTGTGTGTGTGTGTGTGTGGTGTGTGTGTGTGTGTGTGTGTGTGTGTGTGTGTGTGTGTGTGTGTGTGTGTGTGTGTGTGTGTGTGTGTGTGTGTGTGTGTGTGTGTGTGTGTGTGTGTGTGTGTGCAAGCTGTTTAGTAACATACTCATACTCAAAAAATGAGTGTGTGCACATCTGCGTCAACCCCGTGAAGCTCAAAAGGCGCTATAAGCAACACCTGTTGGGACTCTGTGTGTGTGTGTGTGTGTGTGTGTGTGTGTGTGTGTGTGTGTGTGTGTGTGTGTGTGTGTGTGTGTGTGTGTGTGTGTGTGTGTGTGTGTGTGTGTGTGTGTGTGTGTGTGTGTGTGTGTGTGTGTGTGTGTGTGTGTGTGTGTGTGTGTGTGTGTGTGTGTGTGTGTGTGTGTACTCATGTGAAATGCCTTGTGGGTATTGGTACAGTGTTGTTTGCCAATCAATACCTATGTCAGCATGTGCTGGGTTGATATGTGTGCCACAGTTTGAGATATTTTAAAGGGTCACTCTGATTGCAAAATTCAATACAATCTAGCCATTCAGGAAGTGTGTGTTTTACATAATAGTTTACATCTATTCAAATACAAATCATCCAACATCCATTTGAAAAGTTCTCACGGGGACTATTTATTTGGAAGTAAATTTGTCCAATAAAAACGGTTCACATTTGGATAGTCAAGACTGACTGAGGCTTGTTTCTGTTTTACGTGTTCTGTTTAATAATCAAACAAGTTTCTTATTCACCTCCATTATACTTGAGTGAAGACAGAAAGGTTTCAAAACCTTGGCAAATAAAATCAAAACTATTTAGCCCAGATTTTATTGTTGCAATTTTTCTGTACTGACCCTTTAAATCACAACCTACCCCAGAGCAATCACCCTGTCTCTATATCAGTCTACCTTTTGTTTCACTCTTCTCTGTTTTCTAAAACCTACCACTGCTGACTGAAAGCCTAAAGCCATAACTTTAATTTGACATGAAATGAAAGGTTTACTTTAAAAAATAAAATGTTTCAGTACTCACTTGCCCAGATCACATCAGAGTAAAGATTGACACGTTGGTTTACACATACAAGGAATTTGTATCACATATGAGTAATCATTTATTATGTTGTATTATATATAATATTAACAGAACGTACTGCAACTTGCTTTTCTTGATGCAACTCTTACACAATCCATCCATCCATTTATCATCATCACCATTATCCTCCCACAACAAAGTGTCCCACATCCTACTCATGTAGCTGTTTGACACTTTTCCAGGCTTTTCCTTTAAAAACTGTTATTAGGTTCCTGAAAGTTCATATGAGCGGCGCACATAATTGTTTATATCACACAAGCTGCAATTTAGAGCATCCCACTTCCTTCATCTTCTTCTCATCCTCTCCTACATTCATCACCTCCTCCACATTTTCCTCATCTCGGCCTTCTTCTCTCACTTCATCAGTCTGCCTCCCTCTCTTGTTCTGCCCCCTTCTCTCTCTGTTTTAACATTCACGTTCCATCACCTGCCCTTGTGTCATGCCTACACTCTGCATGCTACACACCTCCTCCTCCTATTCCTCCTCTGTGTTTTCCACATTCTCCTTTACCACTTATACGCATTACCGGGGTTGGGAGGGTTACATTAAAACATGTATTCCGTTACAATTAATAGCTACTTGTAAAAGAAAGTAATCAGTAACGTAAATTGAGTATAACAATATAAAAGTAATGTAGGCAAGGCAAGTTTATTTATATAGCACCTTTCAACACAAGGCAATTCAAAGTGCTTTAGTATGTAACCTGATAAGTTATTTTTAGATTTCCTCAATATCAAATGCAATTCAAATAAATACAAGCGAAAAGAAATATCAATAAGATGTTTTACCGAGGTGTATTATAAAATACGACAGAACAATGTGACCTTAGAAAAGAAGAAACCACCCAAGCCTGCGCATTACACTGAAATGACCCCTCCTCACTTTCTTTTTCCTCATCATTTTGAATTCTTCAGACCATGTTTCCCTTGTTATAGTGCCATGGGCAGATTTTGTTCTCACATGCACTCTCTTGTATGCTCTTTTGGAAGATAGACAGCATTTTAAGACTTTATCTGCCGCTTTTGTTCCTCCCAGATGCTAAATCTGTGCAGCTCACTGCTAGCGCCTGAGTTCACCTCTCGCTGAGTTCAAGAGGATCAACGTGTTCTTAATTGACCTCTATGCAATCCCATAACAAGTCATTCTGACAGGCTATTTGGCTCAGACCAGAATCACTGTAGAATAAAGTGGGGGCATTGATAATGGGCCTGATGCCTTTTGTGTTGTGGATATGCCTGCGTTTTAGGAGAGAAAAATATACAAATATAATTAAATGTCTGATATATTTGATAAGATTCAATCGATCATTTATTCTTTGCCTTTCAAAAGTCTGGTTGTAGGAGTAAGTAGGCCTATTGCTTTCTCTTGTCTTTTTTTTTTACAACTGGTGGGTGTTGTTCTGGAATAAAACTCTTTGGCTCAGGCGCTCATATGTAAAAATCAAAGCACAAGTAAGTTGCTGTGTTTGGTCCAAACACAATCGAGCAACAAGAATCACTAAACTTGACACAGCTCCATCACATTATGCAATGAAAAACGATGCCGGTTGCCAAGCGGCTATTGCACGGATCATACGGACAGGCTGTGGTTGTGTGATGTGTGATTGGAGGGAGTTGAAGTGACTCACAGTTCTGCCACTTACACTGCTGTCGATGATTATGATAATTTGCGCACAAGCAGCTTTATGAAGCAGCATTAATCATCCCAGATGCACTCTCTGACTTCCCTTACTCTCCACATTCCCCATCTTTCTCTTCCTGTCTGACTTCCCTCTCTCCCCTTTCCCTGTCTCCATGTTTTTCTTTCTTTCCCAGTCTTGGCTAATCACACACAGGAGGGGTGCTGCTGCTGAATTTTTATATTCATTTATACAGCAAGCCTTTGATGTCCCCCATCACCCCCCCCCCAGTGCAGTGTAAGCACTTCTCTATCTCCTGCTCTGCCAGCACCAGCACTGCCAGCCCAGAATATCTCCCTCTGCACCCTGCACTGTGTGTGTGTGTGTGTGTGTGTGTGTGTGTGTGTGTGTGTGTGTGTGTGTGTGTGTGTGTGTGTGTGTGTGTGTGTGTGTGTGTGTGTGTGTGTGTGTGTGTGTGTGTGGTGTGTGTGTGTGTGTGTGTGTGTGTGTGTGTGTGTGTGTGTGTGTGTGTGTGTGTGTGTGTGTGTGTGTGTGTGTGTGTGTGTGTGTGTGTGTGTGTGTGTGTGTGTGTGTGTGTGTGTGTGTGTGTGTGTGTGTGTGTGTGTGTGTGTGTGTGTGTGTGTGTGTGTACTGACTGTAGATATTACCCAAAAAGCCCCAACAATGCTGAAATATACAAGGGCATGTTAAGAGCATACCGAGGAGTCGAAGGATAAATGGACAAAGAGTGAAGGTGGTGCATTACTGACAGATGAGTTAATGGTCAAAAAACAAAGATGACTTTTATATAATCCCCAACAATATACAGTGGAGTGAATCCTAACTCTGTTATGAGCGTCATCCAGGGGTCAATAAGGAATTAACTCATCTTAAACCACAATGGAGTTTTGATCCAAGCCACAGAGGCACACTTACAATCAGATTTATGATTCCACCACTTCTGTTTCATAGTCTGCTCATGTTTAGATATATGCACATGCATTACAGTATGTGTGTCTGTGTGGAAACTGTAGTTCAGTGGGGTGTGTCTTTCTTGGTTAACCGTGGCCTACTGTCTATATTTAGCTTTAAACCCTCTCCTTTCCCCTTCTGTGCTCCCCTGTGTGACCCTCGCTCAGTGCTGCAGGCATTTCCATATCAGAACACGGAGAGACGGAGCTGACTTACAGGAAGTGAAAGACAGAGAGTTTATGTTAGCTGTTTGAGTTTAATGTATCGGTTTACAAGTAGAGCGACAATGTACGAGAAGAAGTGTATACTTTAGGGTTATGCGGGAACTCTGCTTTAGATTGACAGCAGCTTGTTATCCAGGTGTAGACAATGTGTATATGTAGTGGTCTTTTGGCAGCCTCTCTTTCTGTGGCGTAACGATGGAGGATGGCGAGTTGGTCATTCGTGTGCCAGGACGGTCTGAGTCCAGCAGGAGTTGTGCTGCTGGCGGTGGGTTTGGGGAGACGTTGGTGTTGCAGCACAAAGAGGTTCACCACTTCTTCTTCGTCCCCTTCAGGGAGCAGCCCATCTACAGCACGAGGGCCCACGTCTTCCAGATTGACCCCAACACCAAGAAGAACTGGCTGCCCACCAGCAAGCACGCCGTCACCGTCTCGTACTTCTACGACAGTACGCGCAATGTCTACCGCATCATCAGCCTGGATGGCACCAAGGTGAGGGATTGTGACTGAATGCCTAACACACTTTGTCACACACACAACTCTTGATACCTCCCAGACTGCATCCATTGTTCATTTTAATTTCTGCCAGCTGACATGTTTTATTAAGACGTCAAACAGCCTTCCAGGGGATTTGAGTGCCACTGTGATCTAGCGAGTGTTAATGATGTTATAAGCTCTGCACTGCGATTTAATGTTCAGACACAGCTTAAAAGAGCTCGATGTGGCAGACCGTCCCAAGGATGACAGCTCATGTTTCATTGTGTGTTTGCATGCAACTACCGTATTTGTGTGTGTCCATCTGCATACTTTAAGTCTCAGGATATTCTTGTTAGACATCCAGAAGGGATATTTCTGCCGGGCATGGTCTGATTTATAGGGAGGGACCAGTCACCAGCATGCACACTCCACGCCAGTTATGGACAGAGGAGGGGGGAAGTTTAATGAGAGAAACAGATGACATAGCCTACTGAGAAGAATTGGAGGTAGAAAAATATCCAGAGTGGCAAAGACGGAAAAGTGTGAATCCATTGACCAGTGGCAGCAAAGCCATGTCCCAGAGTTCAGGTTTAATTATCTCAAATCAGGTGTGGGAACCTCTGCTGATGGTCAAATGAGAAAAAAATAATGCATTTAGAAATCACAGCCCTCAACCCACAGGGATGACTAAATTCAACTCTTCAATTTCACACACACACACACACACACACACACACACACACACACACACACACACACACACACACACACACACACACACACACACACAATGAGTGACTCCTGCCCCTTTTAACTCGTCGTTATGTATTGATGCCACCCGTGACACAACACTGCTAATTGGTCATCCATTCATTTGTTTTCCATAACAGTTATTTAGCAATGGAGGTTAAATAAGATCTAGCCTTCTATTAAGACAGACAGACAGAAAGAAAGAAGGAAATATTTTTTGCCAGCGGCTTTGGTGCACTAGTAATTATTTCTGGCAGTTGGAGGGTGTATGTATTGACTCATATTAATCTGCCCAATTTGATCATTATAGTTATGATGTAAATAGTTTTCGGACAACAACACTGGTCTATAGCACACAGAAATGTTATTCTCGGTTTTGGTCTTTTTATGCTTTTAATTGACACAAAGAAACGTTTAAAATATAGCCAGACTCACCCTTTACTTTACTTTCAGACTCTGTGGTTTACGTTTTCAATTAACACACTTTCCCAGTTTCTCACCATAACATCAATCACTCTTGCTTTTGTATTGCACTTTCAACTACTGGTGGACCACTGAATCCTTGGTTTTTTAAGTGCAATGCAGCAGCACCCTGTTAGCAGTCATTTCTAAAAGACATTTTCCAAATTCCCCAGAAGCCTGAGGTGATGACTTGAAAGACGTTGTTTAATCAAACACATTCAACTTACATAAATCTGAAAAATATCCTTACATTTGAGAAGCTTAAAGATTGTTCCTTAATTTCTATCAATCGACTAATGGATTAATTGGCTAATTGCTCTGGCACTACTTCAATACTGTTTGAAACGTCTGAGAGACCCACGTTTAAGGCATTAATACCAACTGCTTCAGCTTTTGATGTGTACATTTTGTGTTCAAACTAAATAATGTCTCATTGCTGTTGTCATATATATTCCTAAATTGTAATGTGAATAATCTTCCTCATTCAGAAATGGAAAAAAAGCACATACTTGTGTCCAAATTCCCCTCACCACCACTATCTGTCTTACACACACATATTAAAACACACTGTGGTAATAACATTGATGTAATGAGTATTAAGTGGGTTGCTTCTATCCTGCAGGCAATAATCAACAGCACCATCAGTCCCAACATGACGTTCACAAAGACCTCACAGAAGTTTGGCCAGTGGGCGGACAGTCGAGCCAACACGGTGTACGGCCTGGGATTCTCCACCGAGCATCATCTAGCCAAGGTATCACCCCCATTCATCTGCCCACACACACACACACACACACACACACACACACACACACAGTATCCACTATAAACCTTTTAGCATCAATCTCAGGGCGGCTTCTCTTCTCCCCCGGACCCCAAGAGTGGATGATATTTCTAATTTATTTTTGCTCTAACTGCTATAGCTTCCTTAAAAGTGTAGAATCTTTTTGGCAGTAAGCCCTAATGAGGCTTTTTTCTGTGTGTTTATATGTGTGTGTGTGTGTGTGTGTGTGTGTGTGTGTGTTGTGTGTGTGTGTGTGTGTGTGTGTGTGTGTGTGTGTGTGTGTGTGTGTGTGGTGTGTGTGTGTGTGTGTGTGTGTGTGTGTGTGTGTGTGTGTTTGAGTAGGTAGTGAATTTTCGCTCCTCTGCAGTATGATTCAGCTCCGTCGTGAACAGGGGCGGCTTCATTGTAGATTATTTTATATATTATATTTGTTTTATAAGATGACATGCTCAAGTATCTTGTAACGTCCACAAGATATTCAATTTACTGTCAAAGTGAAGTAAAGAAACTGCAAAATAATCTCATTGAAGAAGCAGATAACTTTGCCATTCTTTCTATAACAATTAATCAGATGTTCCTCCTTTTAACAACTATTGTTAATACTTACAATAATATTCTATTCTCTTAATCTAATTTACAATTTGTGAAGTATTAGAGTTTACAGTAACATGATACATTTTATTTATTTAAAGCTCTGTAAATTATCAATCAAACATTATTGTCAATAATCAAAGATAATAAATCATGAAAGTAAAAAAAAACATTTCCAAAGATTTTTCTAACTTCTTGGAGACTTTAGAGCAAGTATGGTTTTATTGATTTACAGTTGATGTTACACCTTGAGAGAAATGTGTCTGAAGAGCAGTTTTAACAGACACTCAGCAGACAATTAGAAGTACTTTCTGCGGCCTGAAGTAAAAATAATCAGATTCTCCTCTCAGATAACTGCGTTGCCAACACTCCTGCAGCACTTACACTGAGAACTGCATTTAGATCGCTGTAGCAGAACTATTATATTGCACCGAAGTGAAATGATATTAAGTTACTCATTGCAACTCCACTAATCGCATACACAAGACTGGCTCCAGCAGAGTCGTCAATTTGATTTCCTCTCCACTCTCTGCAGTACAGAATATAAAATAATACTCTGTAGGAGCACTGTCGGGGAATCAGCACACCCTAAAGCGACATAGGGGATATGTATCTGTGTGTTTGTGCGCCAGGGTGTTTATATTTGTTCAAATTCCCTCAGCTGAGCTCACCTTACTGCTTTGGGCTCGCTGAATGTATCCTTGCTCTCGACTAAAATAACCCTGGAGATCAAATTCAGACACCGACCACTTCTGATTAAACACAAAAACTCTACAGGAAAACACAATGACACAGTCTACTTTGATCTGTGTGTGTGTGTTTGTGTGCGTGTACATTTCTATGTAGAGGTCCATATAGAGAGGTTACTAACTGTGACCTATATAGCTCATGTTTCGACTGAGGCATTGTGGGTAAGGG